GCTACTACACTATTATTAGGATACCAACCAGGACATCAATGAATTTATAGAGAAAATGAACATTTGCCACATGTTTGTGCAAAGAAAGAGCTTTATTAACAACACACAAACAACTACATACAAAGTGAAGATCTGCCCACACTTGGGTAACGGCGGTTTAAAAACTACAGCTCAGTAAACTGTCCGTTTGCCTCCTCGGGGTTGTAGACCGTCACTGGCAGGTCTGTTGTGCAGGCGGCTCGTGTGTGTGTGGCGACCGTACAATCCACCCCGAGACCCCGCCAACAACGCCGTCCCCTCCGTCCGACGTGATTTCCAGAGTTCCATCTCGTCATCAGCCAGCACACTTTGTCTCGATTCCAGCAGCTGTAAAAACAACAATGAATCAGTACTGTGCGATGCGTACGGACACAACACATCGATCAATGCACCTGAAACAAGTCAGCAAATAAACTCTGACCCTCTTTCTTCTCGCTCGACTCCGCGCTGAATCCTTCGCAGCTTCCGCCCGCAATGAGTGTTCCGCCTGAACCTGAAGCTCCCGCGTACCGTCTCACAATACGTCTCACAGGGAGCTGGAAAACAATTGAATGAGTGTGGTATGAATACAAAATCAAAATCAAGTCACAGTGACATTTAACAAGGAAGGAGAAACAGTAAACAGTGTCACTTACACACAATGACGTCGTCTAAATCTGGACTTTTCCCGGAGCAAATACGAGGTCACCACCTCATCATGAGGCGAGATTAGTCTGTGAAAACAAAATGTACAGTTATGATCGGTATCTATACGTATATATTCCCTTATACCGCAGAATGAAAGCATATTCTTTAAATCTGACCCTTGCTCCGGTTCGTAGCGCCTATAATTCGTCTCGGAGTTGTGAAGACGGCGCACCGCTTCCTGTAAACGACACGGCAAAGAAAATACACTTTAATAAAGCTGTTTCTGCTCACTTGTAAGGCTACTGGGCTACTCTTAGCTTAGCTTGAGGCTACGCTACTTTTAGCTTAGCTTGCAGTCATTGAACGTATTCTTACCGCTATCTTAGGATCGTGCGCCCGTCTCCTCTTCTTTGAGTCGGTTCCTCTCCTCCATGGACAGAAACCCGCAGAGTCCCGAACGCTCCAGTGGAGCGAACCGCTCGTTGATATCGGCAGTTTGTTGTTGGAGTTGACGAGACGATCCACTGAGAGCATTCAGCAGCTTCTTCTTGTCTGTCTGCGGACTGGCCGAAAGTTGGTGACCGCGGAGAGGAGTTGAAGGCGAGTTGAACGCGAGACGTCGTCCCGCCATTATTCACGAAGCAGCAAAAACCAAACAAAGGAACTGGAGATACAGTTCTTCTGAATATAGTAACACACGTGTCTGTTTGTATGCTCGTCTTGCAAGTACTGCTGTCTGAGTCATGCCTATGACCTCACACGTGATTGGACGAGGAGTCTAAGGGTCCTCCAATCACATACGAGGTTATTGTTATACGGAAGGACCAGTATTTTAGGAAGACAATTGGTTGGGACTTTGTCGTGCAATGAAACAGCTGATATACTTTATGTAAAGCAGTGTTTTGGTGTCAGCAGAACGACTTTCCCTAGAAAACTGTACAGTGGTGCCTCTTTCTCCATTCCACCAGACAATCTTGAGTCTGACAGACATGCAATGTTGACAATGTATCATCAGATGTACCCTTGTGTCACTGAGGTTGAATGTTTTGCCATGACATGTAAACGGGTAACATATATGAATGTAACTTACTCAATCGATAGATGCAGAGCATAAAGGTCAGCGTATATTTCTGCTAAGCGGTGTGGAAACACTAACAGTTTTGAGGAACCCGTCCTTGACCCTCTAGCAGAACTACGACCAGCCATTATAAAGCAGTTTATAGTTGTTAATGTTGTGTCAAAGGGTACGGCATTTAAACATGTTCTTGCACAAGTTTCCTGGCTTCATCCCCACCCGGACAGACATTTTTATGGAAAGCCAATAGAAGTTTGGGGCTTGCAGGGAACAGATACGTCATACGTCATACCCAGTATCATTTCTGCCAGTTGAGCGCATTGCTAGATGTGTGGTTAATACATCCTCTGTGCATTTAAGTAAGACCAGAGAAAAGGTCACTGTAGTCCTGCCACTATGCACTGTAGTTGAGCTCTAGGAGACTGTGATCTCTGCAGACCCCTCATGCTGATTCAAATGTTGTTTGCATGAAATGCTCACCATACCTTGATTAAAACTCATCTTTTAAAGAAGTTATTTTGTGTATCTTTTTTACATAACATTTGCCATTGCTAATGGCGTACACAGTAATCTAGCATATTTGAATTAAATAAATCAATTCAAGCTAAAATGTAAGCGTCTATAATTAGGCTACTGAGCCTGATCTATTTGTACCAGAGATTTTCTTACCTTTTAAAAAAATGTCACCTGGGCTAAAACTCCCTCTGCGACCCTGATTTTCCTTTGTATAGCTCACAGCATTTTCATTTACATGTCAAAGCCTCCCCTAGAATTAGGAGGAGCGGGGACATGGGGGGACAACTGCCAAGGGAGGCCCACATCAATTTCTGACAATTTTCGGCAGTTTTCGGCGTTGCCCGCAAATTGCCGTAAACCTGAAATCCCACTTTTCATGCAGCGCCTGATCTGCCCACGTGTGGTTTTGCTGCCAATCACGAGTGATTTTATTTGTTAGTGAGTTGTGGTTTCATCCAATAAGGAGTAACGATATTCAAGCCGGCTCGGCCACCCGCGGTTTTGCTGCATTCATATGCTAATTCGGGCCATTCGCACCTCCGCCAGCTCCGCATACGTCATAGTTCGTTTCCGACAATTTGTGGCACAGACAAACGCGACGTGCGCGGGTTGCAAATTGTCGGAAATTAGGGAGATTTCCGGTCGTTTACGGGGACGAAAATCTCACTTTTCATGCAGTGCTCCCTACACTCCCAATTATTTATTTGATTTGCTAATTATATTAGCTTTGAATTAGTCTGTTAACTAGGCTTAAGCTCACACAGGCACTGGGGTCGGCCAAGGGGTCCTTTTAAGGAAACAAGCGGGAGGCTTTTACGCGCATCAAGGTAGAACACTGGAAAAGAGTGAAATGTATCCAACTTGGCGCTGATACACACTTTACACTTCTTACCGTTGCTACGTGTGCTACGCTTCACATAGTCTTCCATTCATAATTGAGAATGATCAGACTTTTATTTTGTCCCTGTTAGTGTTCGTTCATCTTTTGGGGACATAACCAAAGGATAAAATTCAAAAGAATCTGAGTGTATCCTCTTCTGATGCAAGTCTTATACATATGTAGCGACACGAGGCGTGATGGATGGGTGAAGGCAATTCAAATATTTTAAGTTCGCCAGACAAGGCCACCCTGGGAATTGTTTTAAATCTTCCAAACAAAACTAAGGGGAGGCACTCAGGTTTGTCGCAAATGAGTCAGAGACATAATTTAAAACAATGTAATTTTATTAAATTCACGGTTTAAAAACAACAGTAAAAACCTTCACTCTGGGACAAGCAGCGGGGGAACCAATCAGGGCTGAGACTTACGATGATGGACAGTCCAAAGAAAAGGGGACCCAAGGTGCACCATACGTGAAACGACTAAAAGTGAAGTAACTCAAACAACATGCAAAACATAACATAAGAGGGACACCACCACCTGGGACACCAATCCACCACCGCAGACTCAGCACCTGAAGGGGGAGGGGAAGACTAGAGCAACAGGTTTAAAAAAGAAACTAAACCAAAACAGAAAGAAAATAATTACATTTAACCAAAAACTATACTAATAAAACACCGACGGCTTAACCAAAGCTGAACCAAATCACAAAAAAGAAAACAACAAATTGACAGACAAACAACAAATAACAAAGGATCCAAACAAATAAGGCCTGTCTCTCGTACAGTTAAGTTTATTCTGGACCCAGTTAGGAGACCAAAACAAAGCAAACCCAAACAGGGTAACTACGGCTTAAAGCAAGGCAGACCCAAACTGGGTTACTTTAACCAACACGAGGCAAAGCGGTTTAGCCAAAAGGCAAAGAAACAGGGTTACTTTAACCAAGACAAGGCAAGCAACTTGGCCAAAAGGCAAAGCAAAGCAAACCCGAACAGGGTTAGTTTAACCAAGGTAAAGCAAAGCAGTTTGGCCAAAAGGCAAATCAAAGCAACCTAGCCACAGGCAAAGCAAAGCAGGGTTAATTTAACCAAGGTAAAGCAATTTAGCCAGCCTCTGGCAAGTGAAATGCAGACAGGTGCTCTGAAGCCGCCTTTATGCCGTATTGTCATGCAGCGATTGGCTGTGATCCAGAACCAGCTGAAAGTTATTAAGACCAATCACTGCATACTGCCACACATACATTAGGCTCCTTCTTTAAATTGCATAAACTCAACTGCTGATTGGGTGTTCGATCAAGCCTCATGTTGTGGCCAGAAATCATAGTTCCTCTCTCTGGAATGCTGCCTCTGACCATCTGCTTATTTTCCATAGTCCATCCTGGGAAAGCAGTTCACGTGAACATTGTTTTTATTTCATACTGCACAATATATGACCTCAATATCATCACATGAGAGAGAGAAGTGCAGAGGAGAGGCAACCTGAGTCAGTTGAATAGGTTTTGACAGTCTTACCATGTGAAGGTAAAATGTGTACAAATGTACATTTACAGGAAATCATGGCACTTTTCAGCGCTAGCTGCTGTCCTGAATTCTTTAATATCAGTCTGGCATATCTCTCCAATATGAATCAACCATACACTCGTTTACCAAAAGTGTTCTCCTCTTCTCTTGTGAAACCTGCTCGGTCATAATGGCTGTGTACGAGAGTGCATCTGCTGCCGTTTGGCAAATGGAAGGCTGGTAAATTGTTGATGATTCAGATATCTACAAGCATTACCCCTGGATACATTTATGGGAATAAGACAATGGTGGGCCCTGTATCATTAAAACATGTCTCTCCATTCTCTCTCCGACTCTCTTACAGGCCAGCCCTGCACCGATAATCGTCAACACAGACACTTTGGAGTCAGTTCCTTATGTGAGTTTTCGTGTATGTTTGGATGCACATCATTCAGTAGAAGATCCTTACCTCCAGCGGACTACAGCACACAGGAGCCCATTACAGAAGCCCATTATCATTTCAGATGAGATAGTATGTGTGGTGTATCTACATTTTGATTATGTACTGTAACTTAATAGTAACAAATGAGTTTTCAGTTCTGAATTGTTGATGTTTGTCTTTAATAACTGCAAGACTTTTAAAGACCTTTACATTTTGGATCAGAATACAGAAATGAAGCTGTATTTCAAGAGGCAGTTTATTGTCTCTTGTTGACAGTTATGTTAACAGCTATAGGTGCTTCTTTGTTTAAGACAGGAGCACCTGCCTCAGCCTGGGACCTTTTCCCTTGCCTGATAACGTTTTACTTTTTACTGGGATAGTTTGTTCATGTGATAGAGCTATGATCATACAGTAGTTTCAGATTAACTCTGCCTCTTTGACTGCCATGGCTATTTATGTCTCAACGTCTTACTTGCTTTTACATCCTATGAGTTGTGGTAATAACATCTGATGCTGATCAAGAATGGTGTCCGACTAGGAATATGATATGCAGCGTATCCCATGCTGGTATGCTATTCCTGTAAGAATGTATAATGACGGAAGTGCTCTCTGCAAATGAATCATCTCAGCGAGATACAGGATGGAACTGAATCCGCTGTATGTGGCAGAAATAGCAAATATTGATGAACCATCACCTTACATGTTTTCCCCTGAGTTGGTGCCTATTTAGCATAGAAATCCTTTGTTCTGGAAATCATTTGACAGCCCCTGGTAATAGCAAACATCCTCCTCCATCAATATGTGGCACCTATTTAATATTACATTCAAAAAGATTACAAAAACATCTATTTTTGTTTATACTGTTACAAACCATTGAAATCCCAATCTATCCATCTAGCAAAATTGAGCAACAAGACAAGTGTGTGTGGAGACAAAGTTCTCTGTAGCTCCCTTTAGTGCTTCATTCTAAGCCTGCCCACTTTTTAGCTGTCCAGTCGTAAACAAAGAATCCATGTTCTTATCATACTGCATCCAGATACTGTTTCACTGGAACATTAAGAGGAGATCCTACAGTTAAATATTTAACGTCTCCAGTTGTTTTTACACTATGACCAATTTTTTTTGTAAGACACTTTCTGATGCATGAATATTTTCTTTCCATTACTCTACACACAAACAACCATGTCACCACAATTTTTGAAGGACTAAAAGACTCTTTTTTTCTGTTCCCTCAGGTCAACGGCACAGAAATTGAATACGAGTTTGAGGAAATCACTCTGGAGAGGGTGAGTGTCTCCCGTCCCTCACAGATAACCTCAGATAATCCATGAGAACATGCCTCTGCACTGTGGTGGAGTGGAATGGTCTCCTGGAGGCTTTAGAATAGCAATCAACGTGGTGCTAATACTGCCTCCGCAGCCCCAGTTATCTGTTTACACCATGAGCTACCATTATTTTTTTCTCCTAGTATAAATTGCTTGGAATCAGTCACTTTATGTATAATTTCATCAGTATTTCTGAGTTAGTGGTACTTGTATGGGGGACACTAAATATCCATCTGCTAAGGTGATACATGGTGAAGTAGCTTGACAGATATGGAGAACATGCTTGCGTTTAGAGGAACAATTGAAGTGATGCTCATGCTCAATGGACACTATCAGCTGAATGGAAAAAATGGGGTAAAACTTTAAGATCAGCTCAACTGAACACATTTGGAAAATGAAAGCAGTGATGATGAAGGGGTGCTCATTGGATAGGGCTGTCGGACACAACTGGGAACCACTGCTACTTACTTTAAAAAATATATGACATAAATAATGTACAATATTTGCATTGTGTACTGCATCAGCATTAACACTAGCTTTAACTTGCCAAACAGAAGGGTAATTTTTCATAGAAATGAAAGCTGCGCTCTTCCGTCCGGACTGTTTCAATAAGAGGATGCTCAACACACTGAATAGGGGAACAAGCAGCTGATGTGTTGGCATTATGGCTCACTAAACACAGAGCGAGACTGACTGTTTTCCATGGCCACAGGGTAATTCTGGGTTGGGCTTTAGCATCGCCGGAGGCACAGATAACCCACACATTGGTGATGACCCCAGCATCTTCATAACCAAGATCATCCCTGGAGGAGCTGCAGCCGAGGACGGACGGCTGAGGTCAGTCCAGTGTTAATTTCGTCGACGAAAACTATGACGAAAATTTTTCGTTAACGAACCTTTTTTCCATGACTAAAACGAGACTAAGACGAGACGAAAACGATCTTAAAAAATAAAAACTATGACTAAATCTATTCTAACTTCCGTTAACGAGACGAGAAGAACATGTTGGTGGTTGGCGAAGTCACGATACTTTTTCCCCCTAAATTCTCACGCAGCCAACAGACAGGCAAAGTACGGCGGTTATTAACGCGTCTTGATGACGTCATCCACGAACCCAGAACGCTCGTAGCGCTGCAGCGGTGGTTCTTGTGCACCGACTACAGACCGCGACGACTATTTGACGCTTCAGCGGGTTTGAATGTGGCTTCGTTAGTTTAGCTCAGTTGTCTCGGTTTAGCTGACTGTTAGCAGGCTGAAGCCGCGCTGCTTCACAGAAACATAAAGATCCGTTTAAAGACTGTCGGACCTTTCTGCTCTGTTCTCTGGCGACGGCAGGCAGCGTTTCCTCGGTGGATGAGACGCTCCGTTACACGCTTCTCCAAACACGTCTAACATAATAAAGTCATTGCAGGTTCTGAAGCCAAAAAAATAATGTATTGCACCGATTGTAGGACGTTAAGGGGTCTGTTTTGTTGGGACAGTGGAAACAATAAAGGACCATGAAGTGTCAAAAGTGTTGCAAGTAAACAGACAAAGACAACAAAGTGTTGCGTTTATGTCCCTGGTCCTCATGAAGTTGTTACACCTTTGCCAATTTGTTAAATTGCCTTGCAAATAAATGCTTTGCTATTTGTTAAAATCCAAATCCTTTCATGTAATGATTTTTCACATGTCATTTATATTCGCTCACACAAACACTTCTCCCATTTGTTTTTGGCCCGGCTCCTCCGTCACATTTTACAACCCATTGTGGGACGCAAGTCAAAAAGTTTGCCGACCGCTGCTATAGACCTGTCCTAGGAGGGACATCTGATGGACAACCAAGTACTGCAAGCTAGACTATTATGCAGTTATAGACACAACACAGGGGGTCCCTGGGCCTGAGAAGGGAAGAAAATGAGTTTAAAATGGCTATTAAATGTGACTAAAACTACACTAAAACTAATTACATTTTAGTCGTTTTCGTCGACTAAAACTAGACTAAAATGTACTGAGTTTTCGTCGACGAAAACTAGACTAAAACTAAGAAGGATTAAAATGACTAAATGTGACTAAAACTAATATGCATTTTTTGTCTAAAGACTATGACTAAGACTAAATCAAAAATAGCGGCCAAAATTAACACTGGGTCAGTCACTCCCACTTACCCCCACAGCTTTTAAGAGGAGATGACAAGAAACATCTCAGGCTTGCCAAGGAAAAAACTTGCATGTCACTCAAACACGTGAGAAATCTCCTGTTAGTGGATGACTTAAAGATAATCTCTCACTGCTCCACAATAGCATAGTTTACTCCTCCACTACTGTACAAGATTCTGAGGGCAGATTTCTGCCCTCAGAATCTTGCATATAACACATATTTGAAGTATTATACAGCACTATCATTGCTCTTAAACGGTCTCTTCTCTTTGCAATGGAATCCCACATCCACAAACTTAAGTACTCTGCAGCATTGGCGATAGTCACTTCATACTAACTTGCTTTTAGGGTGACCTAGCATCATTAAATGATCGGATACGGTCCATCAGGTCAGGGTTTTGTCAAGGAAAATGTCAGGCCAGCTCCTGTTCTTTCTCTAAGCCACAGCTCTGAAACATTACTGTCAGATCACAGATGCTAGAGAGGAGCGTAATGCATGCGCAGCGTCAATCTGGAGAGGATAGCAGGAGAAGCAGGCCGGGCATAAATCACTCAGAGCTTAATTGATGGTCACCCATAAGTGGGCAGCAAGACCAATGAATTATGTTTGCATTCTAATCTCTGGGGAGATGGAGGCCTGAGAGGGATTTGGTTAAAATATGATGGAACCAGACATACTTCCTGGCTGTCGCTGCTGTGGGGCGAAGGAACAGATCACTAAGCATACTTAATGCAGACGCTAGGCTTCAGGGGCCGCTGAGAGCATTTCGAATGGTGAAAGACTGAGCCCACAATACCCCTGCTGTTTTATATGTCTACAACATTTCCCTTAACTTATATAAAATGTATTTAAATCTTAGTTCAGACATTTCCTAGAATGTATAGCTTTTCATGATAAGTATATGTTCATTTAGTCATCATAATCAAGAGTTATTTTTTTGGCTACTTAAAGGTAAACCTGTAGGAACAGTCCAATAGAAACAGAAGGTCAATGTAAGCAAACAAGGGTTCAAAGATTTGATGCTAAAATTTTACTGAGGACATGGTGTGGAAATACGCAGATCTTTATGCTCGGTTCTCCTCTGGTTTAAGTGTGTGCCTGTGTCTGTGTGTGTGTTCGCTGATTCCCAGCTGGTCTATGGACCCTCAGGTGAGGTGTGCCCTTGAGTACATGGATGATTTGGTCATTACCTCAGGGGAATTCAAATGATTGATATTTACAGTCTGGTGTACTGGAACTTAATGTCCCCACTGTCTTTACATCACAAACATATAGCTACACTAAAAAGGCTGTAATATGCTGCATACAGTAGATGTGCAAAAATTGATATTAAATACAAAATGCACCTCAAATGTATTAAAAAAAAGATTCTGGTGCCATAAATAATAACAAAATACAATACATATAGTATTCTGTATTTGAAATATAGGTGTTGGTGATTTTGGTTATCTTGAGGGAAACACCGGGTGAATTGGGACATGCAGTTCCTATACATGAACTTAGGGTGGCACACTGCCATAAAATGCATTTAAGTAAGTGCCTGCTAATGAGCACAGGTGTGGATGGGAAGCAGACAGTTTTGACCATGTCAACCTGATGGATCAAACACAATCGTGCATGGAGGTGGCGTCGTATGCTGTGTGGTGCCTGGTACTGAAACTTGTGATGTAATGCAAGGGCATGGACATTGGGAATTGTATGCGGAGCACAGATTAAAGATGACTTATAGACACTCATTGGACAGTGAATTTATTGTGGCAGAAAACGTGTCCGAACATGTTCCCCCCCGTTCGCCCTATAGTGGCTTAAAAACATGCAATGGAAATGTGTTAGTGAGTACGTCACCGCAATGGAACGTTTATGCTAGAAATCTGCATACAGTTACCAGGTGGGAGAGGACCACTGGATGGGAGGGAAGGAGCCTGAGTCGGGGAGCGGGGACTGGAGGCGTTGGGGTCAGGATTCTCGGGGCCGGGACTGGTCGAGGCGGGGGAGCGAGGCGGGGAACCGCATCAGGAGATCGCTGCGGCCCAGCGGGAACGGGAGATCGCTGCGGCTCAGCGGGAACGGGAGATCGCTGCGGCTCAGCGGGAACGGGAGATTGCTGCAGCCCAGCTGGAACGGGAGAGCGCTGCGACCAAGCGGGGAAAGCGGTGCGCTGCGGCCCAGCGTGGAGGGAGTAGGTGGCCTGGAGCTTGGCTGCGAGGTCCATCACCCGCTCCCAGTGGGATCGATCTCTGGTCGACCACGAGAAGGCCTCCTCCTCTGGAGGCGGCGTGGTGGGCGGAGTACGGTGAAAGCGGCCACCCGAGCGCCTTCTGGGGACTCTGGGAGAGCCGATGGAGTAGGCCAAGAAGCCAGCTGGGAATCCAGCGAGGGCATTTTCCCCATGCTGAGCAGCCAGCTGTATGCTGCGTGGACGGGTTCCCCGGGACCAGAAAAAAACTCAGCTGAGTCCTCTTTTGGTCGCGTCATTCTGTCAGGATGCGGGGAAGGCAGGACTCAAACGCAGATTGAGAAAACAAAAAGACTTTAATAGTCAAAAAGCAAAAGGCCAACGGGCAAAAACACACACAAGAACCGGGGCAAAAGGGCAGGCAGGAACGAGAAACATCCAGGACCATAGACAATGACGCAACAAGTGACAAGAAACACACACTGCTTAAATACACTAGGGAGGTGCAGGTGATTGGACACAGGTGGAAACAATCAGACAATCACAGGGGATGACAGGACAAGGCAAGAAGTGAAGTTACCCAGGGAGACAAGAAGCAGAAACTACAAAATAAGACAGGAAATAACCCACACCATGACAGTATCATCTAAAAGAGCTGTGTTGAAATGGCAGTATGCACTCTTTGATTTAAAGTTATTTATAAAATCTTTGCAAATAACCAGAGCGTGATCAGTTAAACCCACAGGCACCATACTGCACATTTTGTAGATATTAAAATGGTGTTTAAAACGATAAAACCTGTCTAGGCTGGCTGAGGAAATGACGCTCCCTCTGGAGTGGGCCCATGTATACTGCCTCTTGTTCCCGTTCAAACCCCTCCACACATCGACCTCGTGTTCTACTATAAGCTGCTTCAGAACTCGCTGTCAGGGCCCGCGAGGCTCTATGTGGTTCCTGTCTAAAAGATCATTTTCCGTGGAGTTAAAATCTCCTAAAAATAAAATCACTCACACTGCCCAAAACAGTGCTTGAAACATTTTTAAAAAACAACTCGATCAGGTCCTGAAACAGGAGCATAGACATTCACAAAAATGAGGGCAATGTGTTCAAATGTTGCCTTCACCACCAGCAGTCTGCCCTCCACCACATGCTTTACCTCCATTGACTGTAAACCACTGGTTGTGGTGTTGTGACTAAGCACAATCTCGCCCCCCCCCCCCCCCCCCATTCCCTTTTCCAGTCTGTCTCATTGGATATGTCGCTGTGCGTTTCCTGTAAAAACAAGACATCGATGCCTTTGACTTTCACCAACAGATACAGCAAGGGCCTTCTCACTGCATCCCTGGCTCCGTTGATGTTTAATATGCTAATGTTGATGTGGCTCATGATTATTGAGATAAAAACCAAACATAGCAAGATCTTTGAGCTGCAGTTGCGTTTCCAGACTGAATTTTTCATTAGTAACTTCGTCATCAACATTGAGATCATTATTGATTTTCTGTACTATTTTCCTCAGCCGGTATACTTCCTGGTTTGTTAGGCCTCGTCTGTCCTTACTGCCCATATGCATCTGGGAAAATCTGGGAAACTTCTCAGATAAAGCTTCTCTTTATCTGATAAGTAATCCTCATTTCTGGATTATTACACAATAATTTCCTATATGTATTATTAATACAATATCAATATTTTATTTATAATTATTATTCTGCTCAATAGTATATATCGTAGTGGCCCTCATTGAGATAGTGCAGCTTAAAAAGTAAGCATTGCGAAAATTCATTAAATACAGTTACTGCCATCAGACCGACAACAAAACGTCTTTTATTCCCTCTGCAATGGTCAGCCTGATCAAATGGCCCAACCTGTAAACAGTTGTTTAAGTCCCATCTAGAGTCCCACCAAGAGTTTTTGTTGTTCCCCCGTGAACCAACTATGTAGTGTATCTATCTTCTCTTAATGATTCACAATAATACACAATCATTGGTGCACACTGATTCTCTTCCAGAGTAAACGACTGCATCCTGCGGGTGAACGACTCAGACGTGTCTGAAGTCTCTCACAGTAAAGCAGTAGAAGCCCTGAAGGTTGCAGGTTCTATTGTTCGGCTGTATGTGCGGCGCCGCAGGCCGATGCTCGAGACTATCATTGAGATCAAACTCATCAAAGGACCAAAAGGTGAGATCAAACACATACAAGTGACTAATATTCACGGTTACTGTAGCTCTTTTTGCCTATGGAAAAGTAATATATGGTATTATCTGATGCTTGATATGAATCTCTCATATACACTACAGATATACAACTAAGAAACTAACCAACTACTTTTATTTCTGCAAACCCACACACAGGGCTTGGTTTCAGTATTGCAGGTGGAGTTGGAAACCAGCACATTCCTGGGGACAACAGCATATATGTCACCAAGATCATTGATGGCGGGGCAGCACAGAAGGATGGCCGGCTACAAGTAAGCGACCGGCTATTAATGGTGAGTACACTGAAAACAGATTATAATGTACAAAATTTATATAAGTTAGAAAGAAAGTGAATATGGTAAATGGACTGTACTTGTATAGAGCTTTTCTAGTCTTCCGACCACTCAAAGCGCTTTAACACTACATGACATCATTCACCCATTCACACACTGATGACAGGAGAACCATACACAGTGACACCTGCCATCAGTAACTAACATTCATACGCTGTAGTCGCAGCTACAGGAGCAACGTTGGGTTAAGTGTCTTGCCCAAGGACACATCGACATGCGGGTTAGCCAAGACTGGGATCGAATTGGTAGGTTAGGGGTTAGGGCCTCTAGCTGCAGTGAGTTAGATCGGAGAGACTGAGGCGGGAGCTTTTTGCATTGGAAGTAAAACAAAGAGGGACATACAGCTGAGAACTGTGCAGAGGAATTCCTCTGCACCTTCAACATAGATAATAGCACAGTGGAGAATTTCACCATGTGTGAAACAGAAAGGGGATGAGTGGCAAACGGACTACATTACATTAAATTACAGGTCATTTAGCTAACGCTTTTATCCAAAGTGACTTACACTACTTTTTTAACCCATGGCTTTTTACGTTTTTGCCCGTGGAGCAATTAGGGGTAAGGTGTCTTGCTCAGGGACACTTCGACATGGGACATGGGGCAGCCGGGACTCAAACCACCAACCTTGCGGTTCCCAGTGCACCCTCTCTATCAGAAGACAAACCTTCTTTTTTGGTTTCTATCTAAATTTGTATTTCGAATACTCTAAAAGTACTAAAGGACATCAGATGTGTCCTCCAAGATGCTGGCTGGGGGGTTGCATTGGTCGACCGAATTTGAAGGAGCAGACGGGACACTTGCTTCACAGACAAAGTGACACAATTGGTATCAATCAGCCTCAAACATGTGATTGATTCTAGCTGATTAGTGGAGTTTTAAATGATACAATGAGTCTGCATCAGACATCTAAAAAGCATAACGTGGCAACCTATCGGCTCAGTAGTATAACCGCAAGCTTTTGTTGAGGAGAGCCTCTTGCTGAGCTAGCGCTTAATTGAATTACCTTCCTACTGTTGTGTTCACACCATCTGTCATCACCCAGTGTCCTGTAGACAGGGAGCACGCTGGGCTCTGATCTCTGCGGCTTCTAAAGCCCCTGATTAAACAAACAGGGACTGCTTCTGTGTTCGCACAGGTAAACAACTACAGTCTGGAGGAGGTATCTCATGAAGAGGCCGTGGCCATTTTGAAGAATACGTCGGACGTGGTTTACCTGAAGGTGGGAAAGCCCACTAATGTCTGCCTATCAGATCCCTATGGGCCTCCTGATATCACACACTGTAAGTCCTCGCCTTTTGTATTTAATATAGGCCATCATCATCTGCTTTCACACTTTTCACACTTTCACACTTCTAAACAGTGTAACTTAACTGGATTGTGTCATTTGTGAGATGTGTGGGATGTGTGTTCTACATTCTATTTTACAAATACTCAAATACAATCCTTGATTGTGAGGCTGTGAGGCATGCGTGCGCACACAGCGGACAGAGATCACACGCCGGAAAATGTAGGTATTGGTGTTGCGTACGCAAAATAGTATACCTCGTCTGTACTGCGACGAATAGATGGTGCCGATCCCGCTTGTAAGGTCAATCTTGTTGCGAGTCCAGAGTTATATTTGCCAAGATTGGTAAAACAGTCCAATTCAAAATGCACACATCAACAGACTTTTGCCAATTCTTTCCGCAACATTCAAGGCCATGTAAGAGAGACATTACATTGTGATGACACAATGTTAAGGAAGTTCATTCCAGTCACTCAAGCATGACGTTTTTGAACCATAACTACAACACGGTAGGTAGTTTTTCTCCAGAGGTTTTGGGTCGGTAGGCCTTCCAGATACTCAAATGAACGTGTAGAAGCTAAAAAAAGTGGAATTGTTTCAATATGTCCCCTTTAAAACTAAATAGGAGCACATAATATAGGGTATTTGCATCATTAGAGCATGTGCCAGATATTTTTTCTGTTGAAGCAGTCTCTCTCTCTCTCTCTCTCTCTCTCTCTCTCTCTCTCTCTCTCTCTCTCTCTCTCTCTCTCTCTCTCTCTCTCTCCCACAGCTTTCTCTCCAACCATGGAAAATCATATCTCTTCCCCAGCCAACAGTGGCACTCTGGAGTACAAGTCTGGTCTCCCAACCATCTCCCCTCGAAGTTATTCCCCCCTCCCGAAGCACTTACTTGGAGAAGAGGAAATAAACAGGTTGGATGGTTTTTCCTTCTTACGGTAATTACCTCCCTTCCTACCAGTAAACTAAAACTACAGGTGTTCCCTGTCCCGCCTTTGTCCTGGCTGATCTGTGTTTCTGTGGCAATTCAAAACGTATTTAAAACTCCAACACGAGTTATGATAGAATTTGAAAACACATATTGTTTGGCTTTATTCACATCTTTAGGTTTTAATCCCAAAGTCTTTGTACAGTCTCCCCTGCTGTAATTTTCAAAGAAAGAGTCCTGGTACAATTAAATTGGGTCCCCCTTGATCCTTAATCAGGATCTGCAGCAACATATTCGGGTCAATTTCACTACAGCAAGTATTTATAAAATACAATCTCCAGGAACAGCTCATTAAATTAAAATAAATTTGTCTGCTGTAGTGCTGTGTTTTGTGTCTTTTTATGATTTCTATCTGAACACTGTGTTGTTTGGTGCGATTGTGACATCTGCAAACATTTCCCATTTTCATCAAACTTAATGAAATTAAATCAAAATCCTGTCTGTGAACTTCTATTAACTCTGAAAGGGCTATTGTTGTATTTGTCATTCTGACAATGAGTCTCCCAGTCTTTGTTCTGTTCCGTATGTATTGTTCTACCGGTGGGGGGGGCAGTCACTTCTCCCAGTCCAAACGGAAGAAGGCTTAAGATGTCTCAGTGGATTGAGTCAGAGCCAAACATCAGCTCCTCTCTAACAGCTAATCCTACTGCAAGCTTCCACGAGGCTGTGGGCCAGGCGGGCTATATTTCCTCTCAAGTCCAATCTAAGAGTACGTTGGTGGAGTGGGGGACAAAGGGGCTTCAGACTGACTGACGGTCTGAGTGGCTGTCTCATTGATTCCATGTTACTGCATTAGAACAGCGGTTCCCAAACTTTTTTTCCTGCGCACCCCCTTCCATGTCTCAACCGGGTTGGCGCACCCCCAATTCACACTTTTAAAAAAACCCGCAACAAAACTTTGTTTTATCGTCATATAGACTCATGTTTAAACATGCGCAAATAACCACAACACGCATGACAATAACAACATCAACACAAGCTGAATTAAGATGCAATGAATTACAAACGATCCACAACATTAAAAAGAATAGGCTCCGAAATAGATAAAATAAATGAAAAAAAGGAAACTTCAAGTGCGACAATAAAATTAGCCTACACACGATCCACAACATAATTAAGTAACAAAGAGCGGCTCAAACATAAACTAAATTAAAAGACAATAAAAGAGAATCCATCTGGAAGTCTAGCGCAAAAGTCGCTCAGCCTGCAGAGAGAGAGAGAGAGAGAGAGAGAGTGAGTGAGGGAGAGAGAATGTGTTAGTATTCCCAACACCCATGTTAATGCGACGGGTGGGCTTGCATCTTGGCACAAAGCTCTTCAAAGTTTGGCGCAATGGAAGACAGTTTAAGCCGCAATTCCTTCTCAACATCATCCAGTCTTTGCCGATGTTTAGTTTTAACTGCTGCCATAGCAGAGAAACCAGCCTCGCAGAGATAAGAGATAAGTTGTGGCGAAGGGCATCAAAACTCTCAAGGCTTGCTTTGCCAAGACTGCGTATGATGTCAGTGACTCGGTCCAAAAATCCACAAGTGGCTTTCGTTTGAACTGTAACTGCAGTGCTCCATCAGATGACAGCTCGATCAGCTGCTCCTGCTCGTGAAATGACAGCTGTGGGACGGGCAGGGAAACTTCAAATGGATTGCGAATCCAAGCGCCAGATGTGTCCATAGGTGGAAAGTGTTTCCGTAGCTGCTCGGCGAGTTGGTTGAGGTGTTCAATTATGAGAGTTTTTACATGCTCACCTAGGTGCACGTCATTTTCCCCCAAGAACTCGTGAAGCGTAGGGAAACACAGGTGTGTGTTCCCACTCACACAACTTGCCCAGAACCGTAGCTTCTTTATCATGGCCTCAACCCTGTCTTGTGTGTTGAACACAGTTACACTGACTCCCTGCAGACTTAGATTGAGTTCATTCAGAGCTGAGAAGATGTCCGCTAGATAGGCGAGCCTTTTCAGAAAATCTTCGTCATGCATACTGGAGGCCAAATGAAACGGATTCTCCTCAAAAAACTGCTGCAATTCGTGCCGGAGTTCAAAGAGCCTTGTCAGCACTTTGCCGTGGGACAGCCAACGCACCTCTGTGTGCAGCAGCAGTGATTTGTGTTCGCTGCCCATCTCGTTACATAACAGTGTGAATATTCGTGAATTTAGTGGACGAGCTTTAATGAAGTTCACCAGTTTGACTGCGTCGTTCAGCGAAGTAGATCAGCTGGCATGTTTTTGGCTGCGAGGGCCTCTCTGTGAATACTGCAGTGTAACCAGCTGATGGATGGGCAGACTCTCCTAATATGAGCTATAAGCCCCGTGTGTTTCCCCGTCATTGATTTTGCCCCGTCTGTGCAAATTCCCACACAGCGCTCCCAGTCGATGCCATTGGTCCTCATAAAAACGTCAATTAAATTGAAGATTTCCTGTCCGGTTGTTTGGGTAGCAAGGGGCCGACAGAACAAAAACTCTTCTTGTACCGATCCTTCAAAAAGGTAACGGACATAGAGAAGAAGATTGGCCAGATTTGCAACATCTGTAGACTCGTCTACTTGCAGAGAGTAAAACTCACTTTTCTTCACACGGCTGAGTAGTACAGCCAGGATGTCTTCAGACATGGCATCAATGTGGCGCGACACAGTGTTATTGGACACAGGAATCATGTCCAACTTTTTTGCCTCTTTCTCTCCAATCATACACGCCACCATTTCTTTGGCCGCTGGCAAACACACGTCTTCGGCCATTGTGTGCGGCAGCCCCTTTCTCCCTAGTCTGTAACTGAGCAGATATGAAGCCCGTAGTGCATCTTTCGTAGACCCAACGCATGAATCAAACTGCATTTTCTTTTGGCTTTTCTGCAACTCCTCCAATTTCGCTTTAAAAAATGTAAGGGGCTTGTGACTTAAATGGCCATGTTTCGTGTGCATGTGACGACGGAGATAAGATGGCTTCAGACAGCTGTTTGCTAGAACCTCACTGCACAACACGCACTGCGGCTTCGGACAATCTGTATCGCCGATCCAAGTGAAGCCCAGAGCCAGATAATTGTCATCATATTTTCTTCTTTTTTTTCCCGTCTGGTGTTCACCCTCATCACTCCTTTTTTGGCATCTCCTACCCTGCTCTTCGGTTTCCTCCCGTGCATCTTCTGACTCCCGCTCATTTTCTGTCTCTATCCTCTCCGTCTCTGTTGCCTCCAAATCCTCTCTCTCTCTTGGTCCCTCTCCTCCTTCGTGACTAATAACTTTATTATAAGACGTCCCACTTGACAGTTTCCCTGATTTCAGCCAGTTAAGCATATTTACACAATCAATGAAACGAGTTGGCGCGCATATTGCCTAGCGGCTGCAGTGTATGAAAGAAGAGCATGCGTAGAAGAAGACAGCTGCTGTCTTCTTCTACGTTTCTATCAAAAAATAATATATTATAGTATTTATATTTAAAATAAAAGCGATTACAAAGGAAATGTTTATTTACTTTCATGCTTTTTTATTGTATGGAAAAATCCTTTTATATATGTCAATGAAAAAATCCCACTTAAAAAAACTGACCGCCATTATATTTTTCCTCTCGCGCACCCCCTGGTTGCAGCTCGCGCACCACACTTTGGGAATGGCTGCATTAGAAGAATGATGGATTTTTAGGGTGAGTGCTTATCACATCGAACTATAGCACACATACACTCAAAATGCTTCTCAGTTAGATGAGGTCATTGTTGTTTTCTGTGGCTATAATTATGGTGTTTTGTAAACAGGGATGGATGGAGGAATAGTGGAGCGGTGATAACAAAAGCTCATATGGGAGGATAAGTGAAGGAGCCCATGTAAAGCTTTGAGGAGTGAAGGATTAGTCCTCCATTCTCTCTGGAGTTAAGAGGTTTACTATTTGCTCTAGGCCAAGGTGCCTGACGTCTGCCCCTAAAGTAAAGCACTCTGACAGATGCTCTGAACGCTATTCTACACAAGCCATTCTATACAAGCCAAAATAAGAGGTCGACGGGAGGGGGTGGGGGGGCGGTACTCGTTGCGGACGACCGACCAACGTGGGGGAGGGGGTGTAGTCGCACGCTCTCTGTCCACTGGTGGGCAGAACTGCCATGCACAGTGAGGAGTGAACAATTGTAAACCTGGGAAAAAACGCTCTGTGATGCTTGGGAAATATGTCAGAGGGAATCCGCTCAATTAAAAATAAAAATATATATATATTCTCTCTGTGGTGCGGCCCGGTACCAAATGGCCTACGGACCGGTACCGGTTGGGGACCTCTGCCCTAGACAGGGGAACAATAATGTTTAAGGATCAGAAGAAGCAGATAATACAAAAAATATCAAAGTTATTACATCATTATTACACTACAAGTTAAAAGCCCAAGTTCTATGGCTGTTATATGGGATGAAGACCAAATATTGGCACTGAATTGTTGTTTAATAGATCTCTGTGTTTGCATCATTTCTCATCGATTTCTTTGCAAAACTTTTAAACCTTCTTCTCTCAGGAGAATAGTAACTCCAGACAGGCCCTACATTTGCCATTTTTTTAAAAGTCCACAAGATGCACATGCACTGAAAGTCCAAACGTTTTAGGATTTTAAGGGCAAACGTGGTGTATGGAGTAGAGAGGGTGTGCTGGTAATTGCAGGGTTGATCGTACATACACTGGTTGCTCCATGTCCTGTGTCGAAGTGTCCCTGAGCAAGACACCTAACCCCTATCTGCTCCCTAAGAGCCTTTACAGCACACTGCTCTCACTATGTGGGATGGGTTCAATGCAGGGATTCATTTTCCCACAGGAACTAATAAAGTATACTTTATTATTTATTTTCTTCTTCTAAAGGCTGTAGGATAAAAGAAACTAAGCAATGAACGAAATCTCTGTAGGCCAGCTGCCCGTCCCCCTTCCAGACTTAAGACATGAGACCTGCGGGTCCTCAAAAGGTCTCAGGGCTTTTGTGAGATGCCCTCAGCCCATTTCACTGGGAATTATTCAGTAGGACAAACAGACCCAACTGCACAGACCTCAGTTGCTCCTGTATCTCATCAGTCGCAGAACCCAGCTATCAGAATAGCATCAGAAAAGCTGGTGTCAAATTATTTGCTGTAATTAGTTAAAAGACCTTCACACGTATGATCTGTGACCTTTATGATAGATTAAGCCTCCACCCTGGAGTGTTAGGCCTCCTCTCTGGTCTCTGCTGCCTGTTTTCTGAAAGAAAGCACTGGGGGGTCACTAGGAGTGAACTCATTTAACATTCGCATCTATATTTTCTTTTATACTGCTGCCATGACGGTTAATCGTCTTCTACATGATTATTCAAGCATTTGCCTTTTGTCAAGTGCAGCTCATCTCACAAGATGCAGTAGAGGGTAAACCCACCATAACTCTCCTCGGCCCTTTATTATAGGCTCCGTACGCGCCATTTAAGGCTGCACGGTGGTGGAGTAGATGGCAGTTAGCACTGTCGCCTCACAGCAAGAAGGTTCTGGCTTCGATTTCACCCAAAGGCCTTCCTGTGTGGAGTGTGTATGTTCTCTCCAGAATGCATGTTAGCTGTGTGGATGTGAGTTGTCTCTGTGTCAGCTCTGCAATTGACTGGCGACTAATCCAGTGTGTAGCCAGTCTCTCACCCGTTATTGGCTGTGATTGACTCCAACCCCCCTGCAACCTTGTGTGAAAAAGCCTCACCTCCGTAGATGACTGAAATGTTAAGGACGGTGGAGTGTGATTTGTGTCACTGTTATTATGGGGGTCCCATATGGCTTTTGTTTCCTTCTTCAGCCACAGTCAACCAGGAAAGAGTTTCATGGTGACAATGTTTTCTTCATGATGCAAACACAAAGAGAAAGAATGCAGGAGGAGGATGACAGGGTTCCCGCGGGTCCTTAAAATGTCGTAAAATTCGGGTAATTAAGGTCTTAAATTGTCTTAAATTTCACGTAAAGTTGCTGTAGGTATTCATTTTTTTTGCCAGTGCGCGTAATGACGACGAGAAAGCACAGTGGTGCATCGTAAAACATCTAATAGTTGATTAATTTAGTATTGCGAAATGAGTCTCCGCAATTTAATAGCTGTTTACGGTACGTCGGCTACAGACGCTGACGTCGGGCTGCGTGTCGCCATTACGCGGTTGTCGATGTGAGGTCGAAAATGCAAAGAAGATGGGGAAGTGCAAATTTAACGACAAGTGGATGGAAGAGGATGCATTTAGGAGGTGGTCGGCGCCGGTTAAAAACAACAATGAGGCAATGTGTAAACTCTGCAAAAAGACCTTTTCATTAGGAAACCATGGGGCTCAAAGCCGTCGAGTCGCACATGAAAGGAGGAAAGCATCAGCGATACGTTGCAGCAGCTAGCCAGGTTAATCCCTGCATTGTTTGCAGAACGACATCACAAGTTCAGACGCCACCTCTCAGTCGGCTGTAACAAGTTTCATTCCAACACCAGACACCCAAAAGGCAGAGGTACTCTGGGTTCTCCATACTGTGACGAGGCACAATTAATTTAAATCTAATGATGCATACGTGGCGTCTTTGCTGCCATGTTCCCCGATTCGCAATGCATGATGTTGTTTAGTGTAATCCAAACTTATGTATGTTATGTTGGCTCTGTTCTGCATCACAAAGGAATCACTTTGATTGTTTACATCTACATTGGCCAAACAGTGTTGGAAGGGTTATTGTCAGTTATTATACTGTCTCCTAATTTGAAAAAAAGTTTTGATTTCCATTGTAGGAGGCAATACATTGCGTATTCCAAAGAAATTGTCATTTTTGGGTCTTAAATTATATTTGTTGAGGTCTTAAAAAGGTCTTAAAAAGCATTAAATTTTACTTTTGAAATGGTGAAAGAACTCTGGATGAGGAGAAAGTGTGGACGTGGAGGTGTAGCCAGCCAAAGTGACATCACAAGTCTGGTGCATGTGTGTAGGTGTGCACATGTGTGTTTGTGTGGCCTCAAAAGACACACGATATGCACAAACAAGTCCTTTCAAAACTCACACACTGTACTGCACGCTCCAGTTAACACATGTGAATCCACATCAATTGACAAACAGCAAACATGCACCCACTGAGTGTGTAACATCAATATGGATTTGCAGCATGTCTGCTGTCCACTTAGTGTGACAGTCATCACTATCTAAATTGATTCAAATTAATCGTGAGAATTCACTTGGCAATAATGCAGCCTGTTATGATTAAAGATGATTATCAATTATTGGTTATAAAAGTTAACTTTTTCTGTCCGATTAGAAATCCCTCGTTAGATGATGGGGAGGGTCACAGGTTTGATTCCCTGCACTTCCAGTTAAGGTGAGATATTTAGCGTACTGCATGACCTTACATAATCCTCATTGTTTGCGTTTTTTATCGCAACAAATCCCCCTCACACCCCACTTAAGCAAGGGACTCTTTATATTGCAATTTGGATAACTGACTCCATGTTATGTATTAATTCTGAACTGTTGAATGTCTAAATCTAAATTTCTGTCCTTTAAGATGTTTTTTTATTATCTATGAAATCAGGTGACTTTTTGCAATATTGGCATGCATTCTTATGTTGTACAGAAGACAAGATAGTTAGTTGTTGAAATAAGTTCATTTAATTAATTAATTGTTTTTCTTATATGAATACTAAGGCCATTTTCAGGATTCATACATGTTAAAGATTGCTGCAAGAATTAGTCTAAAATCAGGAAATCACTCCACATTTCAGGTTCTCTCGACTCAAACTCGTAGTATAAACATTTTTTGTATGTGGTGTTGGTTAGATGCCTGGACATATTTTCAGTCCCAACTTTTACGACACCATTGTTTAATCAGGTATCAACCCACTAGGTAACCTTCTAGTGTTAGTTTTCAACCTGTCAGGACAGCTAGTCGCTTATCCAATGAAAAAACAGTGCAAAGCCAAGTTCTCTGGTGCCTGTGTCTGAAAAAAACGTATCTTCATCTGAGTAAAGGGTGTCTCAGATCGATGACTCGGTTCAAGGAGAATGCTACACATTAAAGCAAGAGTATGGCATTTGAAAGAAAAGGCAACACATGTAGTTTTAACGCTGACTAATGGTTGCTATTTTTTGGAGACTAAAGATGGCAATTGCTTTGTAAGACATTTCACTGACTTCATGATTACCCTCAATTAAAGTCCTTTTAAAGTATTACATGGAAAACCTCTATTCTTTCACAGTAAACAGAAAGCCTTTGTGGTTTGAACTGTTAGATAAAAGGATCAAAAGGTTGTTGATGTCATCCCTGTGGACTATGGTAAATTGCCCTGAGCATTTCAGGAATCAGGAATCAGGACCATTTATTGAATAAATAAAAATATGTTAGACATACAAGGAATTTGACATGGCGGTTGATGCATAACATCGGACAGTAAGACAATGAGACAATGGAAAACAAGACAACAACAGGACAATTTCCAGTCATTCCTGATAGTTTAGTGGCTGAACGATTAATCAATTGAACAAAAATTATTCTAACAGGTGTTTAGAGACAATTCTTGTTATTGGTAGCCTAATATTGGTTTGATATAAGTGGCTGGCGAGATAGGAATAGCTAAAGTGAATTTTCTTTTCAACATGTAAGGCATGCTTCGACTTCGCTCAGTGACCAGCAAGAACCACTTCCCGCAGGTCGCAAGTCTTTCATCGGTGTGTCCATTATCAATGTTTATCCCTCACCTTTCGTCCCCAACGTTCTCTCTGGACACTAACCTCTCTGCTCTTGTCTCTGACTCTACTGTAGGCCTCCTGAGCCAGTTTACAGCACTGTAAACAAACTATGTGACAAAGCACCCTCCCCCAAACACTTTTCCCCAGTGGACTGTGACAAAAGCCTCCTCTACTCCGTCCCCCTCCCATATCACTTAAGCCTGTTCCCTGACTCCGACTTCACCAGGTACTTTCCACCACCACCTCCACAACTATGTCCCATCCCTCAATATGGCATGTCATGGTACTGTACCGTCCTTTATAAGCTCAGTTGCTTAAAAAGTATTATTTTCTAACGCTGGCATGTTCCTCCTTACCTCTTCTTCCCTCTCTTCCATCTTTCTGATTGAGTCAGAGCCTTGTAGCGGGATTACCAACACAATGTTATCCAGTGAGGAAAGAAATACTTCATAGTACTACACTGTAGTAAAAGTCAGAAATGTATCTTAATACTTCAATGAACTAAAAATCGACTCCATAATAATTGTTTTATGACAGTTTGGCTTGTAAGATGTAATAAATACTTTAAATCCTATAGCGTGAGCCTGAAACGCAGACCTAGTCTACCTTACTACTAATTGTGTTGGACCAGGTTTAAAAAAACCAAACAAACATTTCTATTAGTAAATCATATGAAAGATGATATGTGACTAGTTCTATTTTCTCAGAAGGGTGAGAAAGGAAGTGTCGTACACTTCCTCCATCCCCACGGCTCGGTCTCACGTCACTGTTTGTAGAGTTAATATGGAAGGAAGAGATGTGAGTGAGGTGGCCAGCTGCCATGTTAGCCATGTGGAAATGTAAAGTCATGGAATGATCTTGATATGCTGATAAATGTAGTGATAAATGTAAGTATTTCAACCATGACCTTTAACCTCGTACCACCTTTCTGTAACTATTTTTGCATTTACAGAAATGCGAGTTTGTGAGTTTTACAATACAATAATGCTTGTATGTCTATATACATATAATTTAGATATGTTAGGATATATGTATGGGGAGCTATGTGGCTGCCTGCCTAGTCCAAACATATTTGTTCTGCTTCCCTTCAATAAAACAGTGTTTTTTTTAGTGGTGAAGTAGTTGTAGTAGTAGTAGTAGTTGTAGTATACTGTACTAGTATTCTCTTGGCTGAACAGCCGACACATGCGTGTCAGTGCTTATTTTCTATCAATTTAACAACTGAGAATATATAGGTGTGTACTTTCAATCACAGAAACAAGAATTTCTAGTTCTTATAAATACTCCAGCTGCATATGACAAACTTAATAAAAAATAGACACTAGAGTCATTCCTTATCTGGACCCAGTCTGAGGATCATCACTTAAAGCCATTTAAGCAAAGCTGTATTTTTGTGCTATATCAATCATTTAACTATCACTAATTTGACTTCTACTCAACCCTGAGGTTTTCATCAGATTGTATTCTAAATGAATAAACACAATCAAATCAAGTCTATATTCAATTTATAGAGGTGAGGGTCATAAACAAAAATGTGTGAAGTGTTGGCATGTGGTTTGGCGATTTGGTCAAGTTATAAACACCAGTTTTATGTTGAAGTCAGAAACCCGATGGATAATTAAACAATGCTGATAAGCGGCTTTGTTTGACCCTAAGTGAAGTACGGAAAAAGAAGTGGAGAACCACAGAGGATACCTGGTTGGTTCTGCTGAAGAAGAACAGCAAACTAAGCATATAATCGCAGTTTTGCTTTAAAAAGGTCCCAAAGATGTCGTTACGCTTATTTATGTTCCTGTAGTTTCTGTATTCACCAGCGGGTGACACTATGCTATAGTTTGATTTCAGTGTTGTTTAGTGTGCTAGATACTGTTCCTGTTTCACTAATATCTTCAGACAAGATATTTCACTCTGGAGACCAAATTCACTGCTAAGAAATATGTACATTTTCATATCAACACTGGTTTTCATGTTGCCCCTAACAAATACGATTTCAGTCCTGTTATTACATTACAGGTCATTTAGCTGACGCTTTTATCCAAAACGACTGACATTTTTTAACCCATGGCTTTTTACATTTTTGCCCGGGGAGCAATTAGGGGTCAGGTGCCCTATGGAAGCGTATGACCTTCAATTTATGTATGTTAATATCTCATGAAGGAATGCTAGTGTGTGTGTGTGTGTGTGTGTGTGTGTGTGAGCATGTGACAAGTTTCCTTTTCTGTCACAACTGAATTGGGGACAAGTGATCCTAAGTAGAGCACCATCCCCCTGTGGTGCTCCACCAGTCTTTGAGCTACGTTGCCTGAGCAAAGCATCGCTGAAGCTTTGGTCGATCTACCTCGCTATTGTTCTCCACCTCTCTGCACTGGGCAGCCTGAGTTGAAGATGCTGAAACCCAACGACTCCCCCGAGCTTATGTACTATCTCAACTGTCTGTACAGGGAACCCAGGAAGGTGGTGCTCCAGAAAGGCTCCACGGGCCTGGGCTTCAACATCGTGGGCGGTGAAGACGGAGAGGGCATCTTTGTCTCTTTCATCCTTGCCGGAGGGCCCGCCGACCTGAGTGGAGAGCTGAGGCGAGGTGACCAGATCTTATCGGTGAGTAGATAACAGACACACAGCCACATTGGGAGATGTTTCAAAGGGATTGGGATCATAATTCATGGATCATCTATTTATGAGTCACCATCTGAATTTAGAGTTTGGGGTCAAGTGTTAAAAATGTGCAACCTAGTTATTGAAAATGAAAATGAATATAAACTAAAACTCCTCCGCTTCTGTTTAGCCGTCCCATCGTTTTTACCACGTAGGAGTTCTGGTTTGTCGGACACTCAAAAAGAAAACCAGAAGAAGTTTGTTGTTCACTCGTGGCTTGGAATTTATTCTAAACAAGACAAATAATATTCTGTTGTTCTATGGTCCAAAAGTTTTACTGCAGCACTGCTGATGCCATTCACAATTATGCGCTGTCACAGGGCCATGCACACCAACTTATGAGAGCCACCCACCTGGCCTGTAGAGGACACACTTTGCTTTCAAACACAAATAAAGAACAATAAATAAGTCATTTAAATACTTAGACATAAACTTAAATGCAGCTCCTACAGCCGTTCTTAGCTCATAATACAAGCTTCTTATGTACAGAATATAATCAATCCACTCCCCTGTTACATGTTGAACAGTGGAAATGAACAAAAATACCTCAACTACTAGAACATTGCTGGAAACATCAATGTTCCCCTATGGCCAGTACAGATCTAATCTTGAATAGTTAAACCTACCGTGTTCCCAGCATATTTATAGAGAGTGTAATAGTCCTACTGACCTAGATTTTTTTAAGGCCAAACATGTCTTTTTTCTCTTTCCTACAGTATTTCTCCAATTTCACTAGGTGTAGTATGTCTGATTTACTGTAGTTACTAGAATGTTTATTGTATGCTCTTGTTAAATAGGATGTTGATAGCCGTTGAACTTATATGTATTCCCATTCAGAACCCATTTATTTTATCTTATGTATATCATTGCTCAGCGTACAGTGGTACCATAATTAACACCTCATGTCCAGGAGAATTAACAATTAATAAAACAATTATCCGTTCAATTTTAGCACATTCTCACTTTTAGGTTCAATTCACAATTTACAAATTAGCCTCAGAGGGCTTCACAGTCTGTATACATGCGACATCCCTCTTTCTGAAACCCTCACACCAGCAAAGGAAAAACTACCCCAGAATAGAATTCTAGTAATACGTTACCAAGGATAATTTTCAGTATTCAGTAGTTTGTGACATTTACTCTATTTGAGTTTACCGAATTGAAGCCGCAAACATGCACAAATAAAGTAAAAATCCAACCAGTTAAGTAAAAAGTAAAATAAAAACAAGTATCCACAATGACTGAAATGAAATATTATACAGTATATACAGAAATACTAAATAATACATTGAATGCATGGACTTACTGAGATGATGAGCAGACTACACAGTGGCCTGTAGCTGCGAGGAACTGATTCCCTGCTACATTATAGTTCATTGAAATAGTTTTACCCCCACTGTGCAACAGTCTCATTGCATTGTAGTGTCACGGCAATGTTTCGCATCAAAGCTCTTAAATCTAAATGGCACTGTTTTGCTGGTCATTATTGTTCAATCAGCACCTCGGCTTACTTTGATGATAGCCAACACATTCTACGGACCATCTTGTGAAGGAATCAAACCAGCCTCAATGCCAAATCGGGCCTGGGGCATAATGTTGGGGTCCAATGGCCTTTTCCACACTTCCTATCCCTCTAACTCCATAGGTCTGACTCTCCTGTCTCTATACACATCTTTGAATCAATTTGTTTTGTTGCCACGGTCTAGTTGCCCTAACAATGAAAGACAGCACACTGACTGAAAACAGGTGTTTCAGACATAAACTTGTTAAACTATGTTTTCCTTTCGAAATGAGCACTACAGAAACCAGATCTTCTTCTCTGAGTTGACCATTTTAACGTGGCTTGAATTAGCTCTTCATTCATTCTGAGGAAGATGACCTGCTTTCAGCAGCACCTCTTGCGGGGGAGGTAGGACTCAGACGCAGAGTTCAAAAACAAAAGGGACTTTAATTGTCAAAAAGGTTAAAGCAAAAGGCCAAGGGACAAAAAGGGAGACAGGAACTGCGAACGACGAGAGACAAGGACATGCGTGGCGAAAGACAATGACGCGACCCGTGACACAGGAGACACACGGCTTAAATACACAAGGGAGGTGCAGGTGATTGGACACAGGTGGAAACTATTAGACGATCACAGGGGATGACGGGACAAGGCAGGAAGTGAAGTTACCCGGGGACACGAGTGGCAGAAAACTACAAAATACAACAGGAAGTGAACCACACCGTGACAGAATCAGGCATCCGGAAACATTTATCGCCATAATATGTCAGACATACAAGGAATTTGACTTGGCGGTTGCTGCGTAATAGCAGACAGTACGACAATGGACGACAAGACAACAGTGCACGAGGAATTAAATAAAAAATAATGTTATGGGTTAGTAGTATACGGTTATGGGTTAGTTTAAAACCATAAAGGAATAAAAGTTAAAGTTAAAAATATTTAAAAATAAAAAAATAAAGTGCACCAGCGAACAGAAAGTGACAAATGAAAGTGACAAGTGAAAAGTGTAAGCAACGTGTGCAGTGTGAAAGAAAGTGACTGGTGGAATGTCAGAGTCAGGCAGTAAAATGTGAGAAAGATATATATAGTTACATATATACAAACAAAAATAGATTGAAACATCACACCTCTCCAAAAAACTGCATTTTTGTGTTTGGAAAACAGATTTTCTATTCGATTGTCATGGAAAATGGTTCTACTCAGGCAAACCCAATAGACTATTTCAGCACATTTACAGTATTTTACATTGGTAGCACTGTTAGCATTGTCGGCTACGAGACAAAGCCTCAAATGATGTTAAAAAAAGACATATACCTACTGCAGATGTCTTTCCATTGAAGGTCATGATCATGTAATTGCACTTGTGTGGTATAAAGCTATCTTTGTTTTTGCTACAAGTCATTGTTCGAGTCCAACAAATGAAATTCTACCCACGGTATCCTGTGAATGTTCCTTCTTGCTAACAGGTGAATGGCATTGACCTACGTGGAGCCACACATGAACAAGCAGCAGCAGCACTGAAGGGAGCTGGACAGGTGGTCACTATCATTGCCCAGTACAGACCAGAAGGTGAGTCAGTCCAAACACAGGAACAGACACAAGACAATGCTTAAGTAGGTCTCACTACCTACTGATCAATCTGGTAATAATCAAGCCAGCTTCTAACCATTGCGAACTTGTGTTTCATGGCTAACTTTGTTCACAAAATGTGATCTTCATATCTAGAGTTATAATTGAAGTATCCCCCAGAAAATATATGTTCAAATACAGTGAAGACTGCCGGATCTGCAGTTATTATGTTTGTTAAATGGTCATAGTCAGTTTTTTGTTAGTTGGACTCTAATGACAATTATAATTTAATAATTTAATCAATTATTTTCACCCAATAGGAATCACTCTCATTCTCAACACAGGCTGTCCTGTAATCTTATTTTACAGAATATGGGCGGTTTGAGGCTAAAATCCACGACCTAAGGGAACAGATGATGAACCACAGCGTGAGCTCCGGGTCAGGATCCCTGCGAACCAATCAGAAGAGATCGCTCTATGTCAGGTGGGTCTTTTTTAGCATTTCCCTCTTGTTCGGGATTTTCAAACTAAATTCAGATGAAAAATATGTTCTAGATGCCACAAATTGATCCTGTCGAGTCTGCACTGACTCATTCCAGGAAACACACTGGAGTAGCATCTTTGTCTTAGGTGTAGTTGTTCACTTTTTATAGAGACGACACATACATGTTAAAACCAGTTTAGCAACCCTCTATGGACCAACCGTCACAATTCTTTCTGACCTGGTAAAGCGGTGTCTCTGTCTTCCAGTTGCTCCCAACCAAATCACAAAATCCTGATAATCCCAATATCTTCCACTGAACAGAGCACTTTTTGACTACGAGAAGTCAAAGGACAGTGGTCTCCCAAGCCAAGGGCTCAGCTTCAGGTATGGAGACATCCTTCACGTCATTAACGCCTCAGATGATGAGTGGTGGCAGGCCCGCCGTGTCACACCACATGGCGACAGTGAGGAGATGGGTGTCATCCCCAGCAAGAGACGGTGAGTAGTGGACAGCAACCTGTGTCTGGTTGAGGGATTTCTAGGAGTGTGTGTATGATTTGCCTAAAAGCTAATGGGTGGACAAAAGATCCCTAGTCAATGAGGCAACAGTGCTTCCGTGTTTGATATGAAGGGACCACCTTTTTGAAAAATGTTTTTAGAAATTCCTCGATGACTAAAAGAATGGAATAGGAGTCCTCAAAATCTGATTTTTAAAGGGAAAGAATGAATGTATTACTTGGGTGTTAAATCTAATGCTAGAAACCTGAAGCCACTACACATAGGAAAGCACATATTTGATACGTCATTAATCTGGTATTGATCTTTCTCTATATACATGGTTTGAAGCAATGGCTGGGAAGATATAACATTTTAAGGCATAAGTATTTGAAAGTTGTGCTAAACCAGAGTGGTTGTGTAGTTCAGTGTTATGTCATCAAGCCATTTCATAAAATCTCTGTGAATAACTTAGCTTGCTCTGCAGGGTGGAGAGGAAAGAGCGAGCGCATCTAAAGACTGTGAAGTTCAATGCTAAACCGGGCTTCGCGAATTCAAAAGACGTGAGTATCTCTATGAGAGCTGAAAGTGGAAATGTATAGTAGTTCTTGGAGTTGATGATCTGAAAGTCTTCTCAGTGGCTGTAAGTCTCTCTGTGCACTGGCTCATTATTGGGCAAGTGTTGGTTCCATCCCTACGCTGTCCTCACTGCAGTTTGATGTCCATGCATAACCATTTGATAGATCTCATTTCATGAACGTTTATGTGTTATTATTTACTTTGAAGAAGCTGCATTTTAAAATATCATGAAATGACAAATGATACTCTAGAGCAGCGATTCCCAAAGTGTGGGCCGCGGAGAGGTAATAATTTAGAGGTAATGTAATTTTCAATTTTTTAAAGTTTGAAATTAATATAAAAATATTTATGATGCGGCACATTAGTTATGTGAAACATTCGTTGATGAAGCACAAACAATTTAAACGGACAGATTAATAAAACAATAAGGCTCTCGCTCTCGTCCGCCTGTCGTTGTTCAACAAAAGGGGCGCCCTCTTGTAGTATTAAGTAAATATACCGCATTTTCCGCACTCCAAGGCGCACATAAAAGGCTTTAATTTTCTCAAAACGACAGTGCCTTATAATCCGGAGTGCCTTATATTTATGGATCCATTGGTTAATCGGTTGATCCATACTGGTTGTACACGGCGCTCAAGGCGCTCTGCCAAACATGCCAAAGCTCGGTCTACGACGGCGAGATGCTGAGCGGCGCTCAAGTGCGTGAGATATGGAGCTTGTTTCAGGGCGCGTCGGAGAAACAGTGCTGTCGTTCTCGCCGAGCATTTAATGAGATTATAGAGCGAGAGACGGTGGCCTTTTCTTTACAGTAGCTGAACCATCTTAACGGGGAAAATAAGTTATTCTAAAAGCAGCCGAAGATTTAAGGCGTGGATGGCGAGGGGACGGCGGGAGCGGACGCACCTCGCGACATCGATCGGACCCTGAAAGCACCGTCTCCACCTTACTGTAAAAAAAAAAAAAAACAGCGAGCGCGTGGAAAACTCATTCGAGCGCGAGCAGAGATTGTCCTCGTAAGCAACGAAGTTCACGTTTCGCAAGCGAGCAAATACCTCGCGGAGACGGACTTTTGCTCGCGCGACACAGACTTTTGCTCGCGGATGTTTTGATTTTGGTTAAATTCATAAGGTCATTTAATGTTTTGATCAGAGTTGTGATTAAAGGTTTGGGTGGGCCGCGAAAGATTTTCAGATTTCAAAGTGGGCCGCGGCATTCTTGAGTTTGGGAACCGCTGCTCTAGAGGCTGATAAAAAAGACTAATTCAAAGAATAAAGTTCAAGACTGTGGCTTATATGGATTTTCTGTCACATTACCATTACAATTCCTGCTCCTGTATTTTTTTATGTTGTCTTTTCTACTTTTCACACATTTTTAATTCATACAACTTTCATAATTCATACCCCGGGTGTAAAATGTTTTTCGAAAAACACATCCACTGTGTAGACAAGACAGTAACAAAGATGAAGTTATGAGTAAATGTGTGAAGTCTGGTTGTGGCTTCACTCGAGCATGACTGTATAGGCAGCAGCGTTCCCCATCATCTGCAGAATTTTGTCTTTACATGAGCATACTCATCATTCATAATGTCAAGTCTCATCCTGTTAGGTTCATATTTTTCATCCCACCACTGCATGTTGTGTGCTTATGACAATCTTGTCCTTAACTAAATCCCAGTTAGGTTCTCTCTCTCATAGCATGAGCTCACGTCTTTCTCGCCGGGCTTTAAAAGGCTGTGGCACATCAAGAAGTAATGGGAGTTGCACTGTTATTCTCCTTGATATAATGAAAACATCTGAGTGAGCTTACACTCCGATGGTAGATGTATGGGCTCCATGCTGATTTCACAAGAAGTTGAGTTAACATGTTAGTTTATCCATCAAACGTATGAATATTCAAAAAGTGATTCCCCCGCTGCACAGCCTTGGTAAACGTGACTACTCATTAAATGGACTGTACTTGTACAGCGCTTTTCTAGTCTTCCGACCACTCAAAGCGCTTTAACACTACATGACATCATTCACCCATTCACACCCATTCATACACTGATGACAGGAGAACCATATACAGTGACACCTGCCGCACCTAGTCGCAGCTACAGGAGCAATGTTGGGTTAAGTGTCTTACCCAAGGACACATCGACATGCGGGTTAGCAGAGCCTGGGATCGAACCGACAACCCTCTGATTGGAGGACGACCGTGCCCCCCACTCACCCACAGTCGCACTTCATTAGTCTGTCAGTAATGAGTATTATTTTATACGTATTGTATCTTATTTAATTTTTTATTTTACCCAAATATTACCATGAATTTACAAAAGTTAGATAATATGTAATATATATTCTCTCTGTGTACAACATTCATTTATTCAGTCTTTGGTAATAATACTGTAATTTAATCAAGCCATTGGTTATAGAATCTATTTCAATATTGTTACCTACTATTTTCACTTTCATCATCATTTATTTGTTCAGTCTGTCATAAAACAGAAAGCATCACACCTTACATTTCCTCCTTTTGTCAGATCAAAAGTCCGAAACAAAGTTGTCATCTCTACGTATAATCATATAAAACGTCAGTCACAGTGCTGACATAGAGACAAACAACCATTCTGTCACATTCACACCTACTGCAGACACAGGGAGAACATGCAGACTCCACACACTGTTAGGCAACAGTGATAACCCCCGTGTTAATCTTTTTTCCTCTAATCAAATGATTAACCTAACTTTTACCCACTTGGATTCAACCGCAACATTTTATAAACTATCTTAGAAGTTGAAGTTACTTTCTTAGAATCTGGGAGAAACAGTTTTCACCGTAGCAACTTCTTGACGTCTCACACTTTGCAAGCCGCTTTTTTGTCTGCATGAACGTGACAGATACACCAGTTTGCCCCATGCTTTTTCTCCCTTCACAGTCAGTCAATGACAAACGTAAAAAGAATTTCATCTTTACGCGAAAGTTCCCATTCTACAAGAACAAAGAGGGTGAGCAGGATGGCAGTGATTCGGACCGTAAGTAAGCTCACAGACACACATGTTCCTCCGCGCAGAGAGTTGCTGTTGGTGACTGGGCTGATAGGAGACCCCATTCCCTGTCCTTTGTTTTAGTGTCATTCTCTTGGACCACAGTCAAGAGAGACATTCTGGCTCACATGCTCATCAGTCAGCGGGATAGAGGCCAAAGTTGTTCACATTGGTGTGATGCGCCCCCAGTTTCCATCCAGAGATTATTTAGGTCCCTCTCAATGGGTCTATGTGTTATCATCATGTAGCTGGCTCCCCCTGCTGGCTCTCTGCTGTCTGAACACAGACAAATCTGTGACTGTGCAGCTCCTCCCTCTCACTGCCCTTCAACCTTTTACTTATGTTGCGGCTGTCCTTCCTCTCTTTCCTCTGTTCTGGTTCTCTTTGGACGGCCAATAGGACTTGGGGATAGGTGATGATGGGTATGGGACAAAGACATGCAGTAAGTTGGTCCAGGAATGTTTCCTCATCTCTGTTTACCTCAAACCTCTCACATCCACAGCCTGTTTGCATGCTGCACTTATTGGGTTTGTCTTGCTTCTCAGATGCAAAGATGGTTTACTAAACTCAAGGTTTGGAGGAAATTTTGGTTTTGGCTCCCCTCCTGTCTGTTTTATTGTAATAGAACACATGCCATTTATTATTTTATTCTTAAATAAATATATATATATACACTTGATTTTTTTTTATGTCCTTTTTTTTTAGGAATTTCTCTTTTAACTCAAACATGAACATAAATGTAGTCCAAAAATTATTTGATCCACTTGCCACAATTGCTATTGAGCAAAAATATTATTGTCAAGCCCTGCTCACAGTCTGGTTGTTGAACCACCAGCCGTCCTACATTTTTAACTCTGTCTCAGCACTATGATTGTTGTCCCCTGAAGCCTTCCAAATGTTCCATGGCATGCTAAATGTTGTTCATTCAAGTTTCTTGACAATATAACCCCTCCCTGGCACCTTCCCTTTGATGTTGATACGGTTTGATGCATGCTTGCACGACACTGGCGTAAACGACTGAAGGTTTTTTTGTAATTGTGAGCATCTTGGTGTGAAAACTATTTTGGAGCTCCAATGACATCTGTTTGTTTTGTCATTTGTAACATGTTGTAGACATTTGGGGTCCAGAAATATACATTCATGTTAATAGAAGTGGAAAAGTTCCTTTGGAACTAAAAGTCTTTTCCTACTAATCCAGGATATTTCAGGATTTCCTTGTGCAGGCAGAATTCCTGTGTTACGGATATTTTTGTGCTCCTATCAATCGATAAGCGAAAATGGAATTCTTACAAATGTTTTTCAACTAACTAATATTAACTTCTGTCATTGAAAGTTACCACCTGAGCTAAAAAAAATCCCACAAAACTCAGATGGTTTGCTAAATGCATGTATATTGATGTTATTAAAAACATCAGGGAACTGTAATATCCATCTTAATACCATATTGGCTCAGGTTTCCTCACGTCATATAATCACTGAATTGGATGGCTTGAGAATTGGGAGACACAATATACATTGAGGGTTTAAGATTTACATGAGCTTTATATATGCATTTTTATGTAATTTATTCATATATCTACAACAGAAACATTGTTCTGTAACTTGCTGCCATGTTGTCAAATATGACGTTTAGATAAGTAATGAGTGTTTGTCCTAATGACACACTGACATTGTTCACCATGTGCCCCACCAGGGAGCCAAGAGGATGTAATTCTCTCATATGAACCCGTGATGCGACAAGAAAGTAAGTGAAATGTGCCATCAAAACCTGAACCTCAACACATGAAACACAGAGGATTAATAAGCCAGGACACTCACAGCCATTTTAATCATAGAAATAGAACAGGAGAACAACAGACATGCCCAGAGGGGCGGTCAGGGCGGTGGCCTTTTTGACCATAGCCACTTCAACCGTTGTAGCATGCTAACTTTTTAAGTAAACCAGTTTACAACAGGTCGTGGAATCATTGAGGTGAGGATTTGCAGCGACAACAATAACTACAATGTTATGTAGCATATACAGTATAGCCAGAATACAAAAATGAGCTTAGCAGCAAACTGGTGACCAGTAGCAATGCTCGGTGCCACTATCCCTCCTTCTTTATGCCCACCACCCCATATAAGGAGAAGCTAAGAGCTAACTAGCCAGCCATTCGCTTCAGCTCTCTATCCTTTGAGCCTGAATTGCCATTTTCTTTTGTACTGGTAAAATGACTAGAGAAGACATACTCGTCTGCTATTTCTGTGGTTGCGGTTGTTGAATTTTAGTTTCCCTATCCCTGGTGTGATCCAAAGACTGTAAATGGGGTGTCTGAAACCAAACTGAGCAGTTTAACCCATTCATGAAGATGAACAGACAAGAAGCACTTTAAAAGCTAAATAGCTGTATGAAGCCCCCTTCTAAATTTAGGAGGAACAACCACAGCAGTAATAATAAACTACATAAGTAAGTAGGGATGTGGCAGACTCATCCATTCCACATTGAATAGGCAGATGGAGGAAAATAATCTGGTTTATGTGGTAGTAGATTTAGGTTTAGGTTTATCTAAAAAATGATTTACAACGTATCCTTCCAAAATAAAAGAGCTCGGCAGGATTGTGCAGACATATCATTGGGAATGTGGATAGGTTCACATCATTAAGAATAGAAGGAAGATGCAACATTGAGGAAAAACCAATACATTAACATACTCCCATGCTTTCCCGGTTGGAATGATTCATTATTGGTAAAAAATCTTTTTTTGAAGATGTTTTATAGCAGCTTTGTTTTTGCAACTGTCCTAAATATTTTAACGCTTTCTAAATGGATGTTTTATCCTAAATACTATATATTACTAATATTACTTACTTTTAAGTTTTAAGCAAGGTTTTGACAGTGGTCAGTAATGGCAGATGGTTAAGTCATCGGGGGTTTGAAGAAGGCCCCAACGATACCACAAAGCTCCATTTAGTGAAAAAGAACAACAATTACATATAAACATATAAATAAAGCATATGTTTTATTAGCATTAGCTGTGTCCCTCTATGAGACTCCATGAGAGTAGCTCTTATAATTAACAGATTTTCCAGCAACTAAATTACTAACATGTCTGACGCCGTTTACAACTAGTTCACTTTTTCCTTCAAAGTAAGAAGGATCTCACATCACTTACTGTAAGTGTTGGCAGCTAGTGTTCAAAACGTCCAAATATAATAATAATAATAATACAATAATATATACAAATGTGTATTATAAATATAACCACAGCTCCCCTGGACACAACACATGGAAAATAACCTCTACAAGGTTTACTTTCATGCAAACAATAACAATCAGTGTTAAAAAGTTGTTTTCTCTTCCAGTTAATTATGCTAGACCCGTCATAATTCTTGGGCCAATGAAGGACAGAATCAATGATGATCTGATATCAGAATTCCCAGACAAGTTTGGCTCTTGTGTGCCACGTAAGTATAAAATGAAATAAAGCAATTTGAGATTACTGGTTGTATTCATGCTGTTACATAATGGTTGTAGACCGCTATGCTCTAATACTGATGAGCAGGAATGGTGCTTTGTCTATTCATTTGTTAATCTGATGCTGTCACAACCACGATCACCAATGTCATCAGTGTTGTGTATAAACATTTATCACCCACTCATCACACCGCTGTTCCCTAATGTATTGCACTTTTCAAATCACAATTTGCTTATAAATTATTTACAGTGTGTTACAAGAAAACTTGTCAGATGAACTTCTGTGATGAGGATAATGATTTCAGTAGCTGACATGGTTCTAGAGGGACAGCGCACACAGGTCACTGTTGATAATCAGACCCACTGTCAGTATGGTGAGGGAAGACATTTTGAATTCAACTTATTAACCACATAAAATCATTTCTCTTATACCATTAATGGTATTTGACTGTTTTCTATGGACATAAATATTAGGTTTTATAGCAAAAGATGCCTGTGGGCCTTCGTGTAACGCTGCCATAGTGCTACAGATGGAAAATTTCTATCTTGTGTACATCTGTGTGTGTGTGTGTGTGTGTGTGTGTGTGTAGGTGTGTGAGTAAACCCAGTTCCCTCCATTTGGACTCATCCTAAAGAGGACAGCTAACTCCTTTCTGCATGTGATGTGTTCTCCATCAGCCAACGCTTTTTTCTTTTGCATGTTTTGATTTACTCATCTCTTATTTCACAATACCTTTCAAACCGTATAAAGCTGCAAACAGTTCAGGGGACCAAGGTGAGTGAGTGGATGAGCTCAGTTCATTCTTTCATCCCTTTGTCTATAGAGTGAGTCTTGAAGTCATTTCTTGTCGATAAAGACGTTTACTTAAATGTGTGTGTGTGTGTATATATATTATATATATATATGTATATATATAAATATTATATGTACTGTGTATACTTTATTTACAGTATATATATTTTAACCAACTAGAACCATCGTAGAGTAATTGATTACCAGCCACCTTCTTGTCTTTAAAGATATCCAGTGAAATTGGCTCAAAACATTTCTAGCACATTGTATATTAGCAATGTTAAATAAGGAATTTGTTATTTTCCAAAGCTCTAACAATGTTTGGAGCTCATAAGTGGAGAATCTACGCTCCACTTGCCCTTTGAGTTAAAAACAATTAATTAAAGAACAAAGTAAAAAGGAAATGTATTACAACATTTAGTGTCCTGTTCCTCCATTTGCTCACATGTGCAAATGTCATGACAAGTTCTGATTGATGTGAGTGGATATCTTTAAAGATCATTGCGTAGCAGATCCCACCGCCGAACACTATAAAGTTGAAGGTGGAAGGATTAGTTACGGCACAGAGCTTTCCTCTATTCTCTATCCCTATTTCTGATTTATTGGAGCATAACTTAATGACATAACAATAATGACAATTATCTCAAGTCAATTAAAGCTTTATTAATAAAGTGCATTTCATGCACAAAAAAAGCAATTTGCTTTTCATCAACAGTATACTATAGTACTATCATACAATCAAACAGGCGTTCAATGAAAATTGAAGAACCAGAACAGGGTTTGTTGCCAGGTATGTTATTAACATACTTGTTGTTGGGCCACTACATTACACATATTAATGATGAAGACTACAGTCATTTAGAACAGAAATATAGAGTAGTAGAATGCAATAAAATGAATTGAGTAAATAATTAAAAGATGCCATACACATTATTTTAGCAAGCCAGCGAGCAGGTAGCTTAATGGAGGAAATACAAAACATAATAAAGAAACACTTCTGGCAGTATTAACATTTTTTCATTAGGAAAACTCAACTGTACATCTTAAATTACAATTTATAACTTATAATACACCTAAAAATTACTTTCCATCACCTCAGAAATACTAACCCATGAACTTTCAGAAAATCTCCGCTTGTTAGGTTCTTAATGCAACTAGGCAGGGTCCAGTGGGCTTTTCTCAAGAACACAATAGACAAGAGCCCTATGAAGGCCCTGCTCTAGAATCAGATGTGGCAGGGTTGATACACCCCTTCCAGTGTGTATCAATCCTTACAGCCTTATAGTGTCTATCTTATAAAGATCTTACTGTCCTCTTTGCACAAAAGACACCACTCGGCAGAAGAGGGACTATGAGGTGGACGGGCGAGACTACCACTTTGTGTCGTCCAGAGAGCAGATGGAGAATGACATCCAAGAGCACAAGTTCATTGAGGCGGGACAATACAACGATAATCTCTATGGAACGAGTGTCCAGTCTGTGAAATATGTTGCCGAAAGGGTGAGCAGCACTACGTGAACGCACCAATATAAATGGATCAATGTGAAGTTTAGTTCTTGCAGTTTAAATATAAGTAGAATGAATACACATGTTTATCAACCCAGCTGCTTGGTGATAATCATATCAAAGGGAAAAAGAAAAGATATAGCGTCTTTTACATAATTCTAGTTAAACCAGGAGCTTATGCTTTCGTAAACTGAGAGATGAGACTGTGTGTGCTACATCACTTGTAAATTCATGCCTCTTTCTCAGGGGAAACACTGCATTCTGGATGTGTCTGGAAACGCCATCAAACGACTACAAGTAGCACAACTCCATCCCGTCGCCATCTTCATAAAACCAAAATCTATTGATTCATTAATGTGAGTATTCACGTGTTTCCTTTTGATAATAATCAGCCTGTTTACTTTGCACTAGGGTTATGGAACACCTCAGAGATTATCACTCAGTCAGTCATTGGTGCTCTGGAAGGCCTATGCTCTCCACACAAGAGTGAAGACAATATAACGTTAGCGTTGTTAGCCAGGCTCAGTAGTGAACGACATTCTGACATCCATCCATGTTTTTAGATGAGACCAGAGAATGTGCAGTTAAACTGATCCTTATTCTTCTCATTCAAGTTACCTGAAAGTGATATGAAGAGGCTCCGCTGTGTTTATAAACTAAACAATAGTTTTTTTTATGATATATTAACGCAATTGTCGTATTGGGCAATATGTGCTCTGATTAATTTGTTATGAACACACCTCTCATTATCCGGTTTAAAGGAAAACCTTTTGCTCCTTGTGTTCTGAATCTCTGTTTGGAAGAATCTAATAACAGGAGGGACAGGAGAACATATTTTCTATTGATTGGGTTAACGCGGTAGTGTGGTGGTTAGCACTGTTGCCTTTAAGCAAGAAGGTTTTGGGTTCAAACCCGACCAGCACCTTTCTGTTTAGAGTTTGCACGTTCTCCCATGTCTGCATGGGTTGTTAAGGTGCACTAAGGAAGGTAAGAGGAGGACGGAGAAGTGAGCAGAGAGAGCTTGAGAAGTTGTGAACCAGGTTCCATTTGTTAGCAGGAGGGACCGATCAAAACCCCGCCTAACCCGGAAATGCAATGCTTTGAAGTACAAAGAAACTGCTTATTATTATTAGGAACAGGGGTTGTCACAGTTCAGGGATAGAACCATGTGTGTCCTATCTCCCTGCTCAGGGATATGAATAAAAGATTGACAGAGGAACAAGCCATGAAGACATTCGACAGGGCGATGAAGCTGGAGCAGGAGTTTGGTGAATTATTCACAGGTATGATGTTAGTAGAAGCACAAATTCAGAAGGGGCTGTCCATATTCTACTTGTCCATTACTAAACACAGAATGAACACACAAGGCCTGTTGAGTGCTCGATTAAAGGCTATCCTTTCGGCCTCCAGACAGGAACTGTCACTTTGAAGATTACTTCTTCAGTAATAAAGGAAACAACATTGTTTGAACTTTGTGAAAACATGCCTGTATCAGTGGTAAGATCCTAAATGTAACTTTTAATAAAGTTTTTGAATATTTATTCTTGGCATCTGAAATACAACAACAGTCTATTTAAGAAGATAAATTCATGTTACAGTGTCTCTTTGCTCTTTTTTCTGTAATAATAGCCATATCCATAATACATTACAAACATTTAAAATGCATCATAAACTGCTGATTGTAACACTGTGAAAGTATAGTTTTAGCACTTGTAAATACCCACAATCCTTTATGAAAATAATCAGAAGATGTAAAGCATTTTTAGCAGTTTCTCCACAAGCGCTTGTCATGGAAATAAGGGTTGCACCCTATTCCCTCAAAGCATTACAAACATATTTATAATGCTTTATTACTGCTTATATCACTTTCTAATTGTAGTTATGAGTACGAAATAAGATTCATATGGATATATAAAAATTATCGCAACAGATAAAACTCTTATATCAGGGCATTAAACATTTGACTGTTGAGGTTGATGTGTAAGTGTAATAATGTAAATGTTAAAGTACATAAAAGTTCCCTTTGCTTTACAGCCCTGGTTCAAGGAGACAACTTAGAAGACATTTATAGCCACTGCAAACGCGTGATAGAGGAACATTCAGGACCCTTTATCTGGATCCCCTCCAAAGAGAAACTATAATCACTCTGGAAGGGAGCCTGGACTGCTAAAGACTAGTAATACGTTTGTTGTAACATATGATAACTGTATGGCGATGACTCCATAAATAACTATTGTGTTATATGTTTCATGTGTAATTGAGTTCTCTTTTGTTTTGTTACTGCTTCTTTCACTCAACATGAATGTTTCTGAATGTATTCCACAAAGTGTTAGGGAGTTTGAGGTCTTGGAACATAAACCGTTTGTTGATTCTGATTTGAATACAGAGGAAAGGAAATGTAGGGTGTGTGCCCACACCTGGATGCTGTTAAAGCTGGAAAAGGGGTACCGTTCAGACGTCTTTGCTTCGCTAACAGAAGAAATTAGGCGTTCCAACTGAGACATCCTCCCTCTCCCTTCACACTGCAACAACTAGCAAAGAATCATGTGAAGTTCAATGTTTTCTTGGATTTTCTCCAGAACACAGCTTTGCTTTGTGTTTGTTTACAGCATCTTTTCCTTTTTTGGATTACTGTATTTATATCACATTACAATGAGGATGTGTGATGAAAATGTTTGGTTTGTTTTAAACTTATTGTTTTTTATTTTTATTTTATTTAAAAACACATAACTATTCCCACTGTTGCATTGACAATGATTAAAGGAAAAAAGCTGCCATTGGCAACAAAGATGTAACACTATTTTTTGCTACTTAAATGGCTGGGGGGCATAAAAGCACAGAATCATTTATTACTGAAACAAACTTTGATTAAAAGGTCATTTACAGAGCATGTTTTATTTGAATTATTTAGTATGTCGTGACTGTTAGGGTCAATGGGAATATCATGAAAGAAAGTTCTGTTTTAGATTTGGAGTGGAAAGGCTCAAGTGGTCTTTCAATTTACTACTCAAACACAATTGGGCTAAAACAATACCATAGTGGGATCAGTGTGCTGTGGCAAAGGCGCCCGGGGAGCAGTTATCGGTTAGGTGCCTTTCTCAAGGTCACTTCGACACACAACATGCGGCATGCCGGTTTCGTACCGCCAACCCTGCGGCTGCCGGCGCAACCACTCGACATGGAGTATAGTAGCAATGCGGAGGATAGGAATTCAAATAAAGAACCAATACCTTTTGAAAGTATGAAAGCAGAGTACACTGTAAAAAAAGTACGTTGATTATACGGTAATAAACTGTTAAATCGCAACGGTAAAAGACTGTTGATTAAAAATAGGTCATCTTCTGTTTCTATCACATTGAAATACCGTATATGTATATATCAGCGCAACCCGTAATTAATGCATCTATTTCTTGTAAGAAATACATTTTCTCACTGTTAATTGTACTAAACAGTGTACCGATAACGTAAATACACCGTATTATGAAAAACACTCAATACCGTAGTTTTTGCATGTATTATAATGTATTATAACTTCAAAAAAATACATTCTGTCCCTGTTAAATGTACGGACTACTGTGCTGGCAACCGAAATATAACATATTTTAAATGTAACAGCCAGCCCCGTTATTTTTGCATTTATTATTTGTAAAGGATACAGTTGGTCACTGTTAATTGCACTAAAAATTGTACTGATGACGGTAATCCACCGTAATATGAACAACACTCAATACCGTAGTTTTTGCATGTATTACTATTTAAAAATACATTTCGTTACTGTTAAATGTACGGACTATTTTGCTGCAAGTGGAAATATAACGTATTATGGCATTCACAGCAGGTCCAGTATTTTTTGCATGTATTATTTGTACAAAATAGAGTTTATAATTGTTAATTGCAATGAAGATTGTAGTTAACAAATGGTGAAGTTAACATGGGTAACATGGGTATATTAACCATTCTGATTTTTTATGGAAAGGCTGGGAAAGAAAGACAGAGAAAGGGAGACAAATTGAGGGATATAGAGAGAGACAGAAGGAAAGAGAGAGACACGACAGGAGGGCAGAAGTGTGGCTGTGTTAAAAAAACACAACGTTTGAAGATTGAACTTTTCAACTCCACTTCAGAGCCATTTCTACGCACTCTGCATTGCTGGAACAACGGCCTAACTGACTCCGGGCTATATTTCTTCTTGAAGTAACTTGCCTACATAATCATCTAAGCTATATTTTAATTTGATGCTTTGTTTTCTACAATTTTGCATCACTGTTGCAAAAACGTTGCACAGAACGTTAGCTAGCTAGCTAACATTAGTTTACCAAAACATTGGCTAAGGAAAATGTTTCAATACAATTACTGTGGCAGGTTGGTTAAAACACAGAGGGGTTATGTGCTTCATTGCAAACTTCATAGAAATGAACCACGTTGTTTGTTTAAGTGCGTTGACGCTGGTTGCAAAAAGACCTCTGTTCGATATGGAGCATTTAAGGCTCATTTCTACCGGACACAAATCGTTAACTTATCAGCTTCTGTTAACGTTACTGTCGGGACAGCTCTCAAATGCGGTGTGGCGTTATGTGAACATCAGTGTCAAAATACAAAACAGCTAAAAGCGCATTTGAAGGAGCATCTCTTGGAAGGACGCGCTGTGAGTTTTCCAGTGAGTGGATATAAAAACGTTTTCATGGTCAAATCCCCATTCACTGCTCACATGTCACACAAAATGTATAATTGATGGGATTAATTAGATGTGCAATTATCCTGGTTGTTAAAAAATGAACCACATGAAACGCGAAGATAAGTCTTAATTGAATCTTGAGAGTGAATGTCATGCTGTCAGTCCAGCAGCTCCCCCTGTGTTTGTTTGCTTTGTTTGTGTTTCCGCTGTCTCTGCAAGGAGCTGTGGTCTTCCCCTGTTCATCCCCAAAGGGTGTGGCTGGAACAGCTGACGGCAATCAGCCATCAGGGGACTCTCCTACATCAACCCGGGTCTTCCTGCCATTCAGCGCCAGATCGTTCTGTCGTCAGAGTGGTAACTATGTATTCAGGCCACCTGCTATTAGACGCTGTCTTTGTTCACCTTGTCCTGTTTTTTGCCACGTTGATGCCTTTGTGCTAAAATGGGTCCTCTTTTAACATTCAACCTGACTCTTATTAATTTTGATTAACTATAAAGTGGAATTATATTAAGAGTGTTGGTTTCTTCTAGGTCATTGAAGCTCAGTTAAACACAAGAAGGCAGTGAATGTGTCTCTGCTCAAGCAGTGCATCAATCTAACTTTGCCTTTGTTTCTGTTTTTGGGCTACAGAGAGGATCATCCCAATCCGCATTGAACACCTGAGGATACAAGCCTCAAGCAGATGGTCCCGAACCGCTACGCTTCCTGGATGTTGATTTACCATATGCTTTCTTTAATATTTCCTGATGTTGACTGAAATATATGCCAACCTATTGTAATACATTATACCTTATATTTTTGCAATGGATTTCTGGAAAATACAGATGCTGGCAATTTGCTTTGAACTTTGTAATAAAATACCGTAACTCATACAGTTGTACTGTGTTTATCTCTGAGAAAGACCTTAATTAGGTTCAGAATGAATGCTGTTTAAAAAACATACCGTATTGTCTTATACAAACAAAACGGTAATTTACCGTATATTTCACGGATTTCTTTTTACGGTGTATCTGTTTTTTTAATAGTGGATTTCTCTAAACAAAACTGTTCTCAACTAGGAATTTTACGGGTGCAAAAAAACGTACCGTAATGTCTTATACGGCGTCACTTTATTTTTTACGGTAAACCTCTGGCAACCACAGCTGCCAGTAATTTACCGTATATTTCACAGATTTTTTTATGCAGTGCAGTCACAACATGAAAGTTTACTAAATGCTGTTAAGTATTGGATTAGTGATATTCTGTGGCAACATTATGAAGTGAATAGAGACTTAAGAGACTAGGACAGAGTTCTTCAACTTCAACTGCTCCATTCAGGCCACTAGTTCCTTAGTCTTAATGACAGAGGGCAGATATTGATTGGATTCATAGTTAAGACCCTGCTTCCCTGTTGAGCTACTGTGGAGGGGTTCTAAAACCAAACAGGAATGTTGTACTAAAACGATACTTTGGAAGATACCTTGATTTGTCCAACTCAGTATAGTTTCTAAGAAACTGAGAACAATTTATCAAACAGGAGGATTGACTATAGCGAGCGACACCTACGTACCTTTACAATGTACGTAAAGGGACCTAAAGACAGATAGAAACAAATGCAAGGTTTAACTTTAAATATGAAAATGTCACCATTTAAACTTAGTGATGATGGACGAAAAGTACACTTACTAGTACATTCATCTTCAGGCTAAAACACTATTAGACACTAACACAGGTTCTCTCAGGACTGACCTTCTCCAAGCTTTCCATGAGATTAAATATGAGAAACAGTGATGAACAGCCCTTTGAAGTCATACCCAGCCAGGATATAATGTTCAGCAGAACCGCAGAAAGAGACCTTGGAGGCCTGAGTATAGCTCTCTCAGACTGATAATATGAGCTGAATCCACCAGTTTACTCACCGGTCTACTCATCACTTTACCCACCAGTTTACCAACTGGTTTATCCACCAGTTTACCCACCGGTTTGCTCACCAGTTTACCCAATGGTTTCCTCAAAGGTTTACTCACCGGTTTACCCACCTGTCTACTCAGGTAGGTAAAAACCATAAAGTAGAACAGTACCTCACTTTGTTAAACATCCCGTAATAAATAAATCCTGTGAGTACTTAAAGCACTCCAAATGACTAATGCATCTACCAGCCAGATAATCCTCCCGTCCTGTTATACTGCAACGCTATTGGTCGATAGATTACCATGACAACAATCTGTCGGTGACAGCCTGTATATTTTAGAATTCCTATCATTTGATCTAGACAGCATGGTTTACCCAACTTTTAGGGGGAAGTAAATATAGTAGTCACATTGAAAGCTTGTGTGTTTCTAAGCAATGGAACTTCTAAGCAAAAGTGCACTTATTCATTTCATCATTGTTTTTGTTGACAAAAAGATGCACCGTATTATAAAAAGAATGGGATTACATCACCTTACATGTAATTTGGTTGATCCTTTTATCCAAAGTGACTTACAATAAGTGCATTCAACCATAGGGATACAAACTCAGAAGAACAAGAAACAAGAAAGTGTGATTTCATCAAATAAGCCAATTTACAATTTTCTATAGATAAGTGCCATTAAAGATACAAGTTAAGTGCTACAATTTGTTAGTCTTTTACAGTATGTACGGATAGGATCGTGTTGCCATGAAATGGATAATGGGGAAAAAACACTAAGATCAACACTAGTGTTTCCTTTTGCACTGTTTCAAGATAAATGCCATTATTTTTTTGTCAATTTCCCAGACTTATTGGTCACCGCTTGACTTAACAATCAGGGCCCCTAGCCAGTTTTTTGGCCTCTGCCTCGAAAATGGCATACCTATGATAGAAGTGTAATAACTCTACTTCGTCTATCTGGACATTTTGGGGGGATAGAGGGGAACCCTGTGAGTGTTCTGTTGTTTAAAAATCAATTCATATGTTACTGGTGAAGAAATAAATGAATATAACACACAAACAAAAACTTCACATTTTGAGAAAAAAAATCACAGATTTTATTTCAAACGTGGAGATATTAGGCTAATACGTGATAGCCCAGTGTGTGGACAGTACACATTGAAAGTTTTGCGTTAGGATGGAGATGAACTCCTTGCAACGGGAGGACTCAATATCTGGATTTTTTCCTAAATCAGGCGGTGGTAGACCGCCTGTTTCAACCACTTTTTTGAATCGCCTAACCCTTTTGGTGAGGTTTAACTCTACGCACAGCCTCGGCTTTGTAACTGTACTCCTGAATTCTATTCTGGGGTGGCCCAAGGTGGTGGAGGTGCCAGGCGGGTTTGGGGATACTCACAAGTCCAAGGCTGAGTGCTGCTGCATTGGAGTTGGACAATGGAGATAACTGTAGAGGCGTGAATGGGAGGAACGGCCTACCTGATCTGAACCCGAGCGGTTGTTGGACTTCTGTGCTAGTCCCGGATTATCCATAATGAACACAATGTTCAAACATGTTCATTATTGTATGTGGTAACAGAGCACCCTAGGCTGAAGAGGCCCCGGGAAGTGGGGGAGAGATTACCAACCATTATCTCCACACTGGCCTGGGAACTCCTTGGGAAGACCCCTTAGAGCTGGTAGATGCAGACCGGGATGAGTCCCTGTTGGAACTGATGCTCCCGCAAAATGAAAGATGAAAACTCTGGGACACCTTAGTATTATATTCCTTGTTTCTCAATATTATTTCTGTTTAGCGATACGATGACATGTAAAAGAAGATATATCTTCATACACCAGCTTAATTCTAGTGATAAACCTAATACACTACTTCCAAAGTCCTTGTGTCTACTGTCACACATTAACAGGCCAGTTGGGAGTTCTGTGTGGAGATGTAAAGGATGTGTGACCTATGCATGTTGCAACAGTCTTCTGTTTCCAGTGGATGTGCAATATTCAACACATCTGAAGTAGGGAGATACTTGCTGTTCAAACTGTTGATTCGAATCCTCTCAGCTATCGTGAGAGCTGCTGTTTGAGCCATTCATTTTGGTCAAAAAATGTAAGCATATTCATTTTTAGTTGTTGCATTGTAGTTCACATTTTATAATTCACAATTATAATTGGGGTTAATGCATGGTTTTCTATTATATTCTACTGGTCAACTTCAAGGCGCATATTTACCAGTGATTGATATAGCTAACAGGTTATTTTAAAAGCATGTTTCTAAAAGAGCTTGATTTAATTTCTGAAAATACACTAAATGTCCAATTATTGGTTAAAAATGATTGGCATGACAGATACGATGTGGAAATATTTCTTATTGTATTCCAGAACAAAAAGGAGTTGTTTTTCATCAGAATCTCACCGGGTGTACCCTTCCTGCGGCTATTTTTACAGCTGCTGTCACTCAGTAGATGTCTTATTCTTCTTAATTCCTGCATTTTATTTCACTTTATTGTATGAAATGTTACGATGTGAAACACTTTGAGTCTGCCTTGTGTATGAAAAGCGCTATACAAATAAAATTGCCTTGCCTTGCCTTCTTCCATCCAGATTGCTGTGTGTATGATCCTGAAACTCACCATCTTTCGTGTATTGATAACAATGCATGCATGTTCATGTTTTAATTGTTTTACTTTCATTTGCTAATTCATTATTTTGTACAATTTGTCTCAAATGCCAATTTATACAAGAATTGTTTACAAATAATCAATAATAAAACTTAATTTTAGAACAATGTCATTCTTCCTGGAAAATTAAATTCACATGAGGAGGAGCTGCTCTACATACATAATAACCCTTTTGCTTTTGTTCATTATCATGAACTTATGAACATGAGAGCTGTGTTTGCATTCCTGTATGAATGGCTTGCTTTAATGTGTTTAAAATGTATATATATATATATATTAGGGGTGTAACGATTCATCCACTGAATCAATTATTATTCTTTTTATATTCCTGCGATCCAACTGAATCGATCTGTGCTCCGCAAATTGGCATTCCGGACGACATATATCGATTACAAATCGATTGAAATGGTACATAATCGATTTGTATCGATACTTGGAAACTGCACATTGGATTTAAGCACAAAAACTGTATGGATGTGTGTTTGTTTGTTTTTTAGCACTTTAGACACGTTAAACGTTACTCGATTCAGTCTGCCTGTCTGTGACGACATCAGTACGCAGCGGCACGCGCGGGAAACTCGGAACAACAACAAAACACAGCGTGGAGGAGACGACTGCGAGCGAGACATTTACAAACCAACTTATCGATCCAGCGTGTGGAAACATTTTGGCTTTTGCAAACACGGAGGTGTTCTAAATAAGTCGGTCGCTGTTTGTAGAATATGTAGAAGCCAAATAAAAAACCACGGAAACACGACAAATCTTTCCAGCCATCTACAAAGGGTACCGACCCGTACCGTACCGCTCGGTGGAAACGCACCTTAAGGGGCCGTGGGATTAAACAACGCCGACAGTCAGTCACCTCTAGCAGCAGCAGCAGCAGGTAACTCCAGCTCTGCAGACACCTCAGGCCTCAGCAGCACGAAACTCAACATCACAGTAACAATTGCCAAGTTTAGCTGTAAAGAAATGCGACCCTACAATGTGGTTGAAAATCCGGGGTTCTGTGAATTGATCCAAACATTGTGTAATTATTGTGTAATGTTTACATTGAAAATGGCACTTGATTCAAATAAAAGGTTAATACATTTGCCATTAATTGTTGTTTGCTTGATTATAATATCCATAATTAATTTAAACCTGATTTCCTTACAAGAAACAACAGGGATCTCGGAAACTTTGCCTGCACTGTCCAGTAAAGTTACTGAATCGATTTCAAGTCACTGAATCGAATCGAATAGTTCTAAATTAACCCAGATCATCCATGAATCGAATCGGCGACCATGAATCGAAGTTAAAATGAATCGTTA